TGAAGCCCCTAACCGTTAAAAGCCAACGTCACCCGACGCCGTTATAATTTCATCCTGCGACATACGCCACAGCAGCAGTGCAACCAACGCTAATGCTTCTATAATTCTCATTTTTCCATACGTCGCACATAAAATCCCAGAAATTTAAGAGCTGAAGTAAAATTAAACGTAAACTGACTACAGCATCATAAATTTTAAACTGGAAAAAATAATCACAAATTTGTCGACTTGTGAAGAGGCCGTCGACATCACGCACAACTTCATCCCCTAAAACGCAGCAGCGCGACGTGCGCGTCTAGGCAAGAATATAAACAAGAAAGCATCTCTCGACGATTTCACGATATCCCGCTTATCCTAGGGAAAATTGCCCTCGCCCGCGCCGCACCAGCATACTAACAATTTCATGGTAAATCGATACGAGTGAATGACAACACCACACTCATACACGCGCAGACACGTCGCGACATCCTCCATTACTTCTTTCATTACACTCACGTCTCTCATAGACTCTCCGTGCATCAAATGTAAGTGGTGTTTTGTCCTCTTTGCGAAAAAGTTTACGATCAGTGCCGCGAAGGCCAACAACGGTATTACAAACTCACCAAAAGGTCAAAATCAGCATCGGCAGACTGCGTCTGCGAGGAGGAAAACGGAAATAGGAAATACTTTCGTAGGAAACGAGTAAACAAATCACAAGTTTCCCCGTGCATTGCGTGCGTGTTTACGGAGAGGAGTCATTATGGTGTTGCTCTTCCGGCCGAGGATAATAAAGGATGTTGCTGCGGTTTAGTCAAACCCAAAGTTTGGTACTTTGCGCTAAAACCATCTCCACTACTTTGTTGCTCGCTGTAATCGTTAATCGCGATAGTAAATCGAAATAGTTATCGAAACTGTTCGACTGTATAAATGGTACGTAAGTACCTCCTTGTAGTTCATACACAATGAACACAGATAATTGCCTAGAACATTTTCAAAACCTTCCGAAACTATTCGCTAACGTCGTATCCCAGATTTATTTTTGCCATCGGTTCGTATTTCAATTCACGTGAAAAATATAAATCAAAGCAAACAATTTGCATCCTGCTGTTACGTTCCTCGTAAAACGCGTCGCTGATGTCGCAAATAAAATTGCTACGCTTGTAACGCAATAAAAACTAGTTTCGAGCGTAAACAAAGTGCGTCTTGTGTTTTGTTTAATTCGACGCGTATAGAAACTAGACAACAAAGCAACGCGCGTGTCGTAATATCGCTCCACAAGTTCGTTATATATATGTGTGGGTTTGTGTGCGTGCGCTAAAGACTCTTCAATTCCGCAGTTATATAGGTCAAAGTCGTGTCAGAGTGTCGGTACAGACTGCACTTACGTGCGCACGAACGCAATGCAACAAAGCAACGCGCACCAATCGAAGCCCCCCATCGACTGACGTCATTGCGCCGGCACAATGTACACAATCTTATTGTTTATTGCTACAGGTTTCACAATGATGACGACGACGAGAAGCACCATCACTTTGATAAACACACAAAAAACATTAACAACGAATGGAGTAGTATTTTTTAGTTTTCATCCTCTGCAAAACTTCCTTGTTGTTTGTCGCGCTCTCGTGAGTGCTCATCGTATAGACATTCACTCCACATCCCGGAAGTGAACATAAGTCACACAAAGATGCGCACAAGAAGTGAACAAAAAAAAATAAAACAACAACGACAAAAGCGCTATGCGCCCAATTTGCCTTCTTAATTAATTAATTAATTAAAAACTACACGTAGATATAATATAGCGGTGGGTGGCATAAAAACACGTGTACAATGGCAAACTTTGGCGTATCTAATAATCAAAATGGCCGCGAGTGGAAAAAACTTACGTCAAACTGGAAAATTTCACAATTTCGGAAAAACAATTTCTGAAATCCACCAATTTCCAGTAATTTACAACATAAATGTGTTAATAATTATATGAATGCTTATAATATCCTACAAACTGACGTCAACGTACTTGCAAAATAACTCTAATAAATATTTAAACAATTTTTTAGTACTATACACCCAGCAAAGTCACCTTGTAATTTGAAATTACAGTAAAATCAAATTTTTAACGAAACACACATGTGCGCACAAAACAGCTGCGTGCAATTTAATGTCTATTGACCCGTTCAAGAGTCGATAAAAAGCGATTCCGTTGGACGCTGGCGCGCGCGCTTTTCCCGCCTCGCTCGTTTCAAAGTACCGAAGATGGCACCGCGATGAGTAACGCGCCATCGCCGATGACAACCGGCGACGTCATCGCCGCGTCTTCAACGCGGAACAAGGATCAGAAGTTAAATAAACTCAGCGCATATACATACGCTTACGAGGTGTAATTAAGGTTAAAGGCTCTTCATTTCACTAATACTCTGCGCTCGCGGCCGGCATCCAAACGACGAATTAACAAGCCGTGCACGATAGCGCACTCAGTCACAAAGCGCGCAAGAGAACACGAAAGTGTTGCAGCAATAATACACTCAATGATGCAACACACACGTGCATTAGTCAACAAATGACAAAATGCAGAGCCTTATCTCAGCCTGCTGAGGAAGTCAACTACCGAAACGTGCAGTGTTAATTTGTCTAAACATTTAAAAACACTTAGATAAGATAATCTCACGAGAAAATAAATTGTGAAACAAGTAACTTCAACTCAAGGAAAGGAAAAAAAGTAAAACTACTGAATACAAGAATAAATTATCGCACTAATGAAGACAAGTTGGAGTTTTAAAACTGCTGCGCATTTGTCATTCATTTACTACCCTTAATCCCACAGTCAAATCGATAAAACGCGTTAAACGCGTCGAAAACGAAAACATCGGAAGTTGTGCGCGCATTGAATCGCGATTGTTCGCGTCTCTAATTGATGCGCCGCGCCGATTCCGTCCACGTAGTGACGATATCTACGATGACGGTGGGCGCATTATCCGTGGCAGTTCATGCGGACAAACCGTTAATGCCCATAATTAGAATGCACCGAGCAAAAAGAAGGGTTGGCCGCCGCTGACGTCGCAGCACACACCAACGCGTGTCACTGCATTGACGCGCAATGTGCGTCACGCAAAGTGCTAAAAAACAAAATAAAAAAACAGCCATGGGCACTAACCTTCTGAATTTAGCGGGGTAATCGTGGTTGAAGTTGGAGCCAGTGCAATGAAAATGGGGCAAATGCAGCCCCATTCAATGTGTTCAGCCTCCCCCTTGAAACGCTCTACGGCGATACCTAAAACGCAAGCAGACACGAACAGAATTTAGATTTTTATCCACACACTTGTCCAACACCCCCCAAAAATAACCCGTTCGATTTGAATTAAAATTTTATCATACATACATAATTTAAGAATCAACGCAAAATGCTTTTATTTTAATTCAAGTAAAACATCTCGCTAACCTAACTAACGGTAAACACAATAACAAGACATAAAAATGGAGCGTGGGCAGCAGGCGCGAGCGAAAAACAATCTTGCAGTAACAAAAAAATAAATATCTACAAACAGATGGCGCTGTTTCATATTTCGTGACGTCACGATGTTGGACTCGTGTTTGCAAGTGACATTTCCTAACTAAACATACAAAGCAATTATCAGCAGCCAAGTAACAGTAACGAGCAATGGTCAATTCCTGCGGCAAACGGCGTATATCGTTAATTAGATAACGCCGAGGTCACTAAACGAGCAATTCGTGGATGAACACAAAAGCCGCAACAGCTACACATATGTATTTGCTTTATTTTTTTTTTCACTGGAATTCACTCGACAATAGCACATATTTTAAATTCCCAGAAAACAGCTGGCTACGCATGAAATAATTTGTGAAAATTTTCCCCGAATACGAGGAAGTGGAAACAGCTGATGGGCAAACTACGACTGACAGCCGAACAATGACTAACTGTATACGCCATAATCGCGTGAATTAAATTATCAACAAAAACGAGAGAATCCTACATGAATGTAAACATTTACACCGATTACATATGTCTCAGATGACCAATTGTTCTGGTACTTACGCAGAAAAGCAGCAAAAGCTCAGAGCGCACAGGAATGCAGGGCAATCGCAACTCGCTTTTGTTTTGATTCGCGTTCTCTAAGATCGCAAAATGCACACACGCTACTCTCTGCTGCTGCAGACACAACTACAACTCGCCTGAACCAGCGTGATTCGTAGGAATCGGTTGATAATGCATCAACGTGTGCCAGCTCGCTCGCCAGTCCGTGCGTCGGGTCGTTTCGCAAATAATTCAATTAACAATAACAACGCGACCGGAGCCAGTGTGTGCAAATCAATCGAAATCAAGTTCACACTTACGATTTATTTACACCCACAAGTGTTTACTGTTTTTGGCACCAGCCACACGGGGTCCAAGAACGCCGAACGGCGGGAGGGAGCGCTCTGGAATGTGGTGCGTTATGGTTTACTTTAGAATACCATCGTCGCGACCGATGTCCAGCGGGTTGCAAAGAGTATTATCCGGGGGTGTCGGGATCGTGGCCGCGCAAGCTCTCGGAGGCACTACAGTGGGCAGGTTAACTTTTCGTATTTTTTCACTCTCGTTCCGGAGGCAGAGATATCGCGCGCGCGTCCGAATGCTCTCGCCGTTGCACGGGACGCGGTGATCAGCAGCGACGCGATTTTTTCGTCATTGCTCGCGGATGCGATAAACAGATTATTGTCAAAACCGTGCTCAACGTGATATATTGACTGCGAACCAGTCGCGAACGTGCGCCGCCAACGACGCCAACAGCTCGAGCGGCCAATGCGTCAACTACGCAACTATACCAGCAGTGTTACCACAAGTAGCCACTTCAGTTACAAGAGATTAGGGAGTAAAGCGTTGCCAACTTAATCGTACAAAAACAAAAGACGTAAATTCAAAAGCAAAAACTACCACACACTCAAATAACTACTATTTTGATTGGTATTAACTTATTCCAGCCATTTATTTCAATAAGTTATTAACTTCTTTAGTAATATTTCTTCACAATTATCATTTTGTGTTTGTGGCGTAAAAGTGTTGTTGCTCCACTAAACAACTCACTAGTTTTATAGACAAAATATAGGAAAATAATGCAATTACCGTGCGGAAGCTGATTGCGCCGTACACTCAACGCATTATTACTCAATCGCCAGCAGAAATGTGAGTAGAATGCACCGAAAACTGCATATTAATAACATCTAACCTAAATAACAGAAATAACCAACCGTAAGGTGCTGCCCTCATCCACACTAAGACCCAACTAACAAGTAGCGTAAAACTTAAAGCATAACATTTTTGTTTTTTATTTAGACACAACTATTTACAATGGATAATATCTTAATCAAAATGGAAACATCAGAAGAGTCGGAGTCGCATGATAAAGCCCTGGATCAATTGAAATATGATTTAAACAGCACCAACTCTGATTCTGACAATTATGATGAAGACTCTAGGGATGCAGCACTTGCAATTGAAGAAAACATGTTAAAACAAGAAACAGAACACAAGGATGACAGTGGAAGCACATCAGATATGAATACTAGTTTCTCAGAGGAAATAAGGCCTGAAATCAAGGAGGAACATTCCGATATAATGACACAGTTAGACTTAAGTAACTTGGACACATCAGTGGAGTCAATCACACAGAAAGCTGGAGGAAGTTCACCAAGCAAAAAAGACCAAAAGTCAAAGAAAGAATTAGAGGAAGAAGAAAGAGAAAAAATGCAGTATGTTATTAAATATTTCACTAAACCTTACATTTTTTAATATAATTTGTTTCTATTTTCAAGGGTTTTGGTTTCAAATTTTACTGAAGACCAACTAGACAGATATGAAATGTACAGAAGAGCAGCATTTCCAAAAGCAGCAATAAAACGTCTCATGCAAACCATCACGGGTTGTTCAGTCTCACAAAATGTCGTCATTGCCATGGCAGGCATAGCAAAAGTATTCGTGGGCGAAGTGGTCGAAGAAGCGCTGGATGTCATGGAGGAGCAAGGGGAGAAGACTGGCCCACTACAACCGAAGCATTTACGCGAGGCGATAAGGAGGATGCGACTGATGGGCGGCATTCCGAACGGGCGCATGTACACTAAGAATAATTTTAAAGTCTAATGTATGAAATAGTAATAAATGCAAAAGCACAAATGCATCTCTAACACGCGTATTATTTTGTGGATAAATGGCGTTATCAGCGCAGGCCGGGAGCGCCTAATGCCGAAAAGAGAGAAGAGCGAGAAGACCGCGTCGCGATACGGAGTGGGATATGGGATAATAGGGGGCAACGACTGCTCCTTATCGCCCAACGTCCGCTGCTCGGCCTAGCGCACAGCTCGCCGACCGACCATTGTGATCATTGTGATCAAACTTTGCGTACTGCCGCAACGGCGGAGTGTTTTTGTTTGAAGCCTGGCAAGGAACAAGTGCAATATGCGTGCCATCGCCGTGCTTCTCTTGTTTTTCGTTGGTAAGTTATTCACAAAAAATATACACACAACATTTCTTTGTTTGCGTTTGAAAGAAAGTTAAAAACTTCAAATATTAACACGGTTCTAATGCACAAATAAACCGGAAATGTTATCAAAACATGAGTGAACTATCAAAGTGCATGTTGCAGTAATCGCGGAAATGTAACATCGAGATAAGCAATCCTTGAAAATGTAATTAATGTTTTATGTAATTTTAGTGTGCTTACACTTGTGCTACAGTTGCGAGCCGCACCAACGCCGTCGGGGATGTCGGATAAACAATGGCCGGTGTGCGTGCGACGACTTCGGCTGCAACACCGACTATCGATATGAAACTTTCGAAGAATGTACCAAGGCGTTGCGAGGTACATTAAATGACCACCATTTTGTTACACATTTTTGACTGATGTTTTAAAAGGTAAAAAATCCAACGGATGTTCACCGAATCCATGCCTGCATGGCGGCTCGTGCATACAAGTGAGTCAATCGCCCGGCTACAAGTGCAGATGCGAAGGCACGGGTTATTTCGGTGGCCGATGCAATCGAGGTAAGATGGCCGCCATAGTAATTCTTGTCGGCCCACAAAAAAAACGTCTCGATAACGCCGCGCACTTTACGATAACCTTCTAATGATTTTGTTGCGCAGCATGCCCGAAGGGAGGGTCAGCCGGCCGGCACGACATCTTCCCGTACGAGTGCATTGTGATATGAACCGACGCGACCACAACCAAAGATCTACGCACTCCAGCGCTTAGCGATAAGAATATACTTACGTACATGCATAGCATTGTAAATACGAATAAACCGTTTATAGCGAATTAATTAACGGATAGTAAACGTGTGACTTACCATTACATAGAAGATGAATGCGTTCCTGCCAGTCTTCATAACGATGATTCTTGTTAATGATGAATCCCTCCGCCATGATGCGCACGCAAAACTCATCCAACACCATTTTTGACAGAGTATTCTCTAACAAATCAACAAGTTGTCAGTAGCCATGGTTACAACTATATGCAACCCTTCAAAGCATAAAATAAACAACGCATTGGCGATTCGTTTTCAAATTTTGGTTGTTTATTGGTAGGTAATATTCACTTATATTTATTTTCCTTCGAAATAAAAAAGAATTTACAATAAGAAAGATAATCCACATGAATCGTATGTTCCTCCAGGTTTAGTTTCGCTTCATTTTACTTGGTTTCGTATTGAATTTGCTTTGTAATCGTTCGAGTCGTTTTAACTGCATCGCAGTACCCACAAAAAATCTTTACAAATGTAGAAACGCGCGAGGATGAAGAGGAGAGTAATTAAATACAAAAATTAATTAAAACAAAAAAATTCGCATTCTAAAAATGAAAATAAATACTAATCGATTCTTAATAGATGGGGAAGAGAGAAAAGGGGAGGGAGGAGTTTTAAAGTCGTCCTAATTTCCTAAACTTTTTACAAGTTTCAAAGTTTGATCATGCATTTGTTTGACGTTTGATGAGTGACCGAATGGGTAGCTTTTTTCGTTAATATCGTTTACATTGCAAGCAGATTAAAATTACTGGCCCTTAATTAATATCCATAAAAAAGTAAAAATGTTTGTACTCTACGAATTTCTTATTTGGTGATTTTGGGTTGCAACCGAGTGAGTAAATGCATCAAAACGTGACAAAGTAAAGACTAATGAATTAAGATTCGATGCATTTTCTCACGCTTGTGTCATGCGTTCGTTCAATTCATTCATCGGAATCATACAATGTTCGGTTTGTGTTTTCTATCGCTAACATGATGTACTGATGGCTTCTTTTGAATCATATTTTTTTTGTCTTTTTGTTTTTTGTCTCGAGTTGTCTAGCTGGACATATCACTATACTAACATACAAATATTACTAAACATTTTCCTAGAAAAACGTCGCGATGAAACTCAAAAACAGTCATCAATTTAAACGCAAACGCAATCGAAAAATTTCTTGGCCATTTTGTTTCCAAAATAATGTTAATTTTGTTCAATTCATTTCTCGCTTCGTAAAACTGGGGATAGCTATCACAGAACAGTTGCAAATCAATTTACAAACATTTTACATACAAGTCTATCTACACATTTGTTTCCACGAAAGAATTTCAACGTTTTTTCTGAGGTTCACGTTCCGTACTCGACCAAAAACTTTTGAGAATTCGTATCAGTTGCGAGCGATTATAGAGATAATTGCGGGTACTGCACACATAACACAAGTTTGTATCAAAATCAAAATGACTGTTAGCAAAAACGTGTTTCTAACTCATCGACAAATCGATGAAACAACTTGTCAACGGGGCGCATTTTATTTATTTAATTTTTTTTTTTCATTTCTTTTTTTGGTTTAGGTTTCTTTCCCATGTACTTTTTTTAGCGTTTGCTTCTTCTTCTTCTTCATTTACATGTTTAGTTCACTTATCGATGCAGTCTTCTCTATAATTCATATATCGCTAATACCTTAATTTGTATAATCCTAATTTAATTTTAATTAAATTCATTGTATGCATATTTGTCAATGTTGTTTCTTTGCGTTCATTGAATCAATGATTTTTGTCTCTGAATTTTTTGGTTTCCAATCAATCAACAAAGCAAGTGTTTCTCGTATTTGTTTTTGCTCTTCTTGGTGGTTGTTTTAGTAATTTTATTTAAGCGTTACTTTTTTTTTTGTTTGTCTTTAACATCATCACTTATCTACGACTATTTGTGTAAACAGAAACAGAACGAACTCAAACACCGTTGTAGTTTTTTTTTTGTTGTTTTGTGTATGTGTGTGTTAAATCTTTTTGTTTTAAGTTAAATTGCTGTTGTTTTTCGTAGGACGCTTTTGTTATTCGTTTGCTGCGAATTGATACTTACTGGTATTGAAACTGGTTTTCGTTTATTTAAAACGTTTGTTTTGCCTGTACGTTTACATTGCCCCCTTTTATTCGGTTATCGTGCCGGGCAGTCGCAGTGAACGCGCGTCGAGTGCGAACCCTTTCGATCCATCCGGCCCCTTCGGCTGTCGCATGACGTGTAGTTTCGGGCCGGACTCCTCCATCGAGATTGTACGTAGACGACTAATCAGGCGCTCTGGGCGGGCTTGGACATCACTAAAAACACAACAAAAATACAATAATTAATACACTGAAATAAACTACACTTAAGTGTTTACATGTTTGTGTGAAACACCGCCGAAAGGATGAACCAATGAAGAGGAAAAGGAAAATTGTGTAAGGTACGCGTTTGGACCATTACGTCACTTGACAATTTACAAAAATATGACAAATGTCACATAAACAGTAACCAACTATTCTTGACTCCTAGAAATTAGTCAATATTAGTATGGTTACTGTTTATTTACGATCAATTTTGTTTTTCTCTCGGGCTTACCTCACTTTAACAACATTACACGCAGAAGACTTTCCACTCCGTTGATTCGTAACTAACACAAATTCGACCTGATCACCGATTTGAAGATTGACATTGTCTTTGACCTCAGACATATGAAAGAACAGTTTCTTGCCCTCTTCGACCTCGTACGCCAAGAAACCGAACTGTCCCTTGATGGCATCGACAGTGGCGCGGAGTTTCTTGCGTACTGCGATGATATTTGCGGCACGACCGGTGGAATCTACTTGCAGTTGAACAGCATCGCCAACTTGCAACAGCTCGCGTTTATTCAGCAAGCCCATGATACCAAATTCAAACTCCATCGGTTCCTCCTCGCTATCCTGATCCTTATCCTCGTCGTCCGGTTTAATACGTATCAGGCCCGAGTACTCGTTCTGATCAGGATTCACCGAGCGCAGCGGACGCACCACAACACCCTCCAATACTTCATCGGTGACTTTTGGTAAGACAATTGTACCCTTCGCAATAACTTTCACATTTTCGGCAGATGAACATGTGCCGGAATTACCACGTGTGCCCAGGTTGTACTCCACTTCCTGCCCCAGCTCCAAGTTGTTCGTGTCGCCGTCAAAGTTGGAGAAGTGGAAGAACACTTCGCGGTCATGATCGACAGTCTCGATGAAACCGAAACCGTCCTTGAGCGCAGCGACAAATCCTTGATACAATTGCGAGTTGTTCGCGCGTGGTGTCGCATGCTTTGTTATACCGTTCGTTTGCGCGCCGATTGCCTGCTGCACCACCTGCAGCTCGACAGCAATCAGCTCTTTGGTGCGCTTTACAAGATTGATACTAAACTGCACTTTATCGCCAAGGCGCGGAAATTGTTTCTCGCAGTCTTTGGAATAAAATGCCACGGTTTTCTTGGCGCCGTTGAATGTATAGGTAATGATTCCCGACTCAGCATGCGGCGCCTCCCCGTTGCTCGTTTTGGTGGGACTGCGACTCGCCCAGCTGCTCGGGATGTCCTTCGTTACGGAGCCAGTGAGATTACTCTCAATGCGCGTCTCAAACTGCACGGTGCCAGCCGGCAACGGTTTCATTCGGATGGCGCTCTGGCGATTGTTGGAGTATGTGCTCGACTGATCTTGAATGACGGTAAACTCATACTCTTCACCGACGCGTATCTCACGTTCAACGTCGAGCACCTCGTTGAAGTGGAAGAAGAGTCTGGGGTCGCGTTCGGCACACTTGAGGAAACCAAAACCGTCCTTGACAGAGGCAATTACACCCTGTTCACGCTTCTCGCCTGACACCACAAAACTCTCATCCAGCAGCGAGATATTCGTGGCTCTGTTAAGTTGATCACGGCGATCAGTGGCGATCTTAAACTCAACCCAATCACCATGCCGCAGAGTAAAATCACCGCGTTGGTCTTTATCGCCGAATGAAATTTCTACCTCTGAGTGGTCCGGAGCGCGGTATCTAATGCGTCCAGGCAGTGCGTCGGTCTGATGGCGCAGATTCGTGCCGCGGTCGAGCGGTTTCAGAACCTGGCCACGCATTATTTCGGGTTTTAGGTCTTCAAAAATCACCGTGCCGGTTGGTAAGCGTGTTATGTTGCATGCTACTTCTTTCCCTAATAAAACAGAATTGAAACAATATTAAACACGTATTAAATTCGTTTAAAACAAAAATTTTAACTAGTGATTAGTCGTACGTGACTCACGTTTCTAGTTTGTATAATAAATTCGACATCATCGCCCAACCTGAGTTCTTCTTTTATTTTGGCCTCTGAGAAGTGGAAAAATATCTCCTTGACAACGTCGGCGCGTTCGATGAAACCAAAACTCTCCTTCATTGAGCACACGACGCCCTGATACTTGACTGGATGCGCTGGATTCTCCAAGCGGACATGGCAAGCGCCCAAATTTCCACTAAAGACAAACACATAACTTTAAATTAAAACCCAACAAACAAAAAACGGCAGTTATTCCACTTACCGATGATTGGTGGCAATTTGAAAGCTGACTTTATCACCGGAACGCAGTGTGACGTTGCCCTCAACATCATCTTTGGTGTAGGGAGAAAAAGCACTCGCCGCGGTTCTCATAACTAATCCGGCCCTGATTATCGCCACTAGAGCCTTCACCGCGTATCTCGGTGGTCACCGTGCCAGTAACACGTTCCTCACTCATCACCTAAGCATAGAAATGTGTTAAAACATATGGTGCAATCATGTGTAAACTGAATGTAGACCACAGTAGAAAATGCACAATCAGCTAATGTGATAAGCGTAGAACAAGCAATTACTCACGACTTCGGGTGCAATTTTCGTCACAGCGCTGGCAATTGGCTTCCCGGTGCGTCGGTCGTAAGTCATTTCAAACTCAACAGGATCGCCAATCTTCAGATGTTCTATGTTGCCGGTAAACTGACTGAAGTGAAAGAATAGACGCGCCTGCCGCTCACAACACTGGATAAATCCGTACGAGTGCTAAATATAAATCAAAGTTGAGTCAGTCTTATCAACAACAAAATAGTGAATGAAATTACCAGTAGTTTTTCGATGATACCCGTCTCCCGCGTGCCTTGATTCGCCGAGTTGGAGTCATTGTAACTGGACGCGCTGCTGTTGCCATTGGAAAAGATCGGCGGTGAATCACCGGCGCTGTTATACGTGTTGTTGCTGTCCAGCGAGAAAGTGCCAATAGTCGGGAAGCGACTAGTACTAGTGGCGCTCGCCGAACCAAATAGATTGTTGCTGCCGCCGTTGTACGTCGACGCCGGCTTGCTATCCCCCAGCACGGGGAACTCCTGTCCGTACCACGAACGCGTGTTGTTCGAGGTGATCGAGTGTTTGAATGCTTGATTTTTACCTGCAATATTGTACATCTAACCTAACAATTTCAAATGTTTCAACAACAACTCACCAGTCATTGGTTTAAAGTCGATGATGGCAGAGTCCTGATTCATGGTGTCCGGCGGCTGGAAGGTCTTCCACTGGGGATTCGTGGACATAGTCCTAGAAATTCCCGCACCGGCGATGGTTCTGCTGCTTCAGTCTGAACGTTGTGTGTTTTGTATGTTTGTTTGTTGAATTATTGGTTGCGTCGTTTTTTGTTTTTCTTAAGTTAAGTGAATATCACAGAATGGTTATGGTACCTTTCCCCTTTCTCTCCTCCTCAAACCCCCTCCTGCTTCGCTTCGTTTGCGGCGGCGGCCAAAAGAGCGTACCACACAAAATTATGTTGCTTTTTAACTTTGTTACAATAGTTTTGTTTTTTTATAATAGTCAATATGGCAGCTGTGCACCGCAACAGCAATTAGTTAATTGGTTAATGAATGCATCAAATCGCGGTCGAAAACATTCGTCTGCGAGCAATGCCGCAAACTCGTCCTCACAATTGGTTTACGTTTTGTTTTTCTTCTTTGTTTTTATGTTATGCAACAAATTAAATTATTTAACTTTTTTCGAACGTGTTTAACTCTGCTTGATTAATATAGTTAATTTTTCGAACTTACTGGAAACGCCGTTTGTGTGTTGTTGTTTTGTTTGCAACTTGTTGATTTGTTAAATGTGTTAATTTCTTTGCTTGCCTGGTTAAATCTTTTTTTCGTTTGTTTGCATTTAGGATGATTTCCGCGAGTGACGTTTGCATTTAGCGAAGAATCGAAATCAACGTTGGGGGATGTGGTGACTTGAATGAAGTAAAAACAGCTACGACAGTCGACACCGAGTTGCGTAGAAATGGAAACTGAAATGGTTGAACTAAAAATCATCAGATGTCTTCAATGCGTGCTGGGTCTGGATTGTGCCATATACTCTCATCACAATGTCGCGCAATTTCCTCTTGAATCCTCTTTAAAATCTCTCGCCGCCCGAACGATGTGTTGACGAACTGGTTAAACTTTGTGTTTTTGGTTGCCTTGTGTCTTCCGTTGCTCTTTCGTAGTACAAATTGGTGAATCGTTTTGCAGTTGATTATTTGAAGGAATTGTTTCAAAGGCCAGTGGTTTGCGCTGAATTACAACTCGGGTTACGTTCAATTTTCTAATCTAAATTTTGAGTTTCTTAGTTACACAAGCTGCAAAAGAAGAGCATAATTAATATTACGTTAATTAAGATCGATATAGAATTCGCGTACAATATGTTTGTGCTATTGGATTAATGTGCACATTCACAGTACCAAAAAAATGCGATAATTTATGATTTACACAAGCAGCATGACTGCAATCAAAATGACAATTTAACAAAAACGACGTCGAAACAAATGAATTTCGGAAGTGTCATTCATTGAGCTATGATTTTCAACTGTTTTTAGTTCACGAAAAATTGTGTAATGACCTATTTTCCATTTTCCGCTGCATTTTCCAACACGTCTTAACCTTACAAGCGCCGTATTTTCTTTCAATTAATAATTTAAAAATATGCCCTACAATAATGTTTCGGCGATTGCGTATCGTATCGGGCCGCGATCGGAGCGAGGAACATGTGCACTCGGCGCTAACTGGACGAGCGCGAGCCGCCGAATGGAACGAGGCCCGAATTATTGATTTACATTCACTTTTAATAAACATCTCGCGACGATAACTCTTCGTTGACCGCCTAGTACGCATCAAACGATCCGGGTGCGGTATAATAACGCACGTTTCGTTCAATTCGCGATGCGCAATTTTTCATTGAACGATCAACAAAGAATTTCCGTCGTGTAAGAAAGATGGCACAATGATAGCAGACCTCGTAGGGCCGCACCGACGGCGACCACCGAGACGCCGAAATTTGCGCGTTATTTACGCCTCCGCGCTCGAATTATTTATGCGCCACACGCGCCTACTCAATTTCTCTATCCTCATGCGCTTTTTGGTGATGAAATGAAGCAAGTTTAATAAAAATTTGGTAAATTATCAACTCACCACGACACAGCACAGCACTGACGACATGCCGCCATGTTGAATGTCAACATGCTCAAGAAAAACAAAACCTAAACGGAAAACGTAGCAGTGTTGGCAGCTGCAAACACGTATATTTAAAATAAAATGTTTTTACAATATTATAAACGATAAAAACCAATAAAGTAATATTTTATACTTGTTTTAAGATCTACTTGACTATATTAAACTATTTCCCATGTTCAACTAATAAAATAAGCGTAAATATTTTTGAAACATTTGCTGTGGTGGCAACACTGCCTACAGAAATGTGCTTTGTCAGTTGCAATATTTTCCCACAAGGTGGTACCGCTTGTGTTGATTTGGTGTAAACTTGTGTAAAATCATAATAATGATAATAATTGCTTATCACACGAAAACAATTTAAAGATAACGGACGAAGTTCACCCGAATTAAAAACAAGTCTGCCGACAAGTGCACTTATATAAGTAAGTAAATATTCTATGCAAATTTGTAAGAAAATAAACAAATTTATAACCTCTTTCCTCCTAAAATTAAATTTAATTTAAAATTAAAATTTCTAGTGACTTCGCAATGGTCAAATGAAGATAAAGAGGTTCTCCTCCAAGCGTTGAAAACTCACGGAGCTGGCAATATTACAGAAATAGCTAAAGAATTTCCATTTAAAACTCATCAGGATATATCTGTAATGATTAAGCGATATGAAAGAATTGCACACACAAATGACAAAATCTTTTTCAATGAGGAAGCACCAATAGAGAAATGGACAAATTTAATTCGACTAAACTCAGAATATAATACCCTATGTCCCATTGCCAGGGCATTCAAATATATCAAACTATTTGAACACCATGGCAATGATGCTGATAATAATGAAGTAAATATTAAAGATTGTTACGAATTGTTAGCAAATTTATCGGCAGGTGTTCCACCAAAGGAGTTAAATCCAGCCACAAAGAAATTTCTTATAGATACTCTAAAAGAAACAGCAAAAGAAGTTAAAAAGGACCAAAACAAAGAACAAATTCTTGCCTTTTTACAGAATCTGAACTTATCTTCACTTAAAGATGATAAGAAAACGTATGGTAAGAGAAAATCAGAAGAATTAGATGATAGAGTTATAAATCCATTGAAATTTCCTATGAAATTGTTGAAAAAATAAAGAATACTGTTAATTGTTTGACAATTAAAATTCTTATATTTCATCTCATCTTGCTCATGGTAAAAGATTTGACTGAAAGCCGCCAGCATGAGTTTTACATCCGGCTTTCAGCGCAAGAAGCAAATTATTATTTAGAGTTATACAAGTACTTGTGATGATGATGTCAAAAATGATATGCCTGTTTACAATTTCATGTAAGATGCACCAATGACAAATGAACAATGAAGATGAGACTAAACAGTAACATATCACATATTTGACTTATGTTCCAATTGTATTTACTTATTTTATATATATTTATAGTTGTAAATGATATGATTCACTTAAGTTTTAATTTATTGGTTAGGAGAAAGACGCCATTTTGTAACCGAAGCAACGCAATATTATAGTTTAATACGTGAACATAACTTGTGTGATAACTGAGTAGAAACTGATGAAGATTTGATTATACATCTCTTACATTCTTATATCGTAAAATTATGCTATTTACATCGAAGATTGGAAATGTATGTTTATTGACATTGATATTCAAAGATTGAAAGTGATTGCAAGATATTGAAAGAGAGAATGATGACACATTGAGCAAATATTTGTGTGCTCTCGATTTTCAAAATGGCCGCCCAATCGTGAAAAGCTTACAAAAAGTCTTGGAATGTGTGAATTTACTCGAAAGTACATACGTTAGTTGTCAATTGTCAATATTTAGAGTTTTGTATAACATTGAAATTGTTTTGAATCAAAGACGATAGATTGCGAATGTCAAAGTGTTAAAGCTTTGGAGTTGTTCCTCTTAAGACGTACGCTAAGATATGATGGTAAGACATATACAAATTCGGTTTGTCGAACATTTTGGAACGCTTACAAACATCGATATTAGTTATTAACACCCCACACATGCACATTACAACGGGGATATGAAAAAATATTCATTTGTTTTCGTTAAATATATCTTCTCTTCAATCTTCCTCCTTGACTAGGTCATATATATATGCTTTCTGTGTGTGAGTACTTCTGATTTAGTTAAATGCACGATTAGAATATCATTAATTATCATTATTGAAACGTGATTTGTAAGAGAGATTGTCTAGGAATGTACTTTGAAAGAAGAGATATTGATGTGAAATTGTTTGTATGTTAATATGTTGTTGCTTATTCTCGTAATTAATTAATAGTTATTGAGGGCACATTTGATAAAACACGTTCAATTTGAATTGAGGACTGGAGTACATTTTACATTTTATACTGTGTGCCATCAGCAGTGCGCTGGACGAAAGGAACACTTTACAATTTACAATTTTTAGTGTTTTTTTTTTAAGGTTAGAAACTATTTAGTTTAGTTATGAACAATTTTTGATTGCTGTCTGGTTGGAATTATTGAATTGACTATTTGCAATAATTTTCGGGTGATTGTCGTTTCATTTTTTAAAAGTCATGTTAAGCTCGCAAATGTTTCATTCTCAATCAAGGATTGCATTCCAATAGCACTAATGTAAGGTTAGGTGTATGCATGTATACATGGTTGTCTACCATGATGTATAGTTTTGAATAATATTTACAAGCTGTATCCGTGATTCTGTGCAGTAGCATGATTGTCGTTGAGGGATTGCCATTAATCCACCGTGAAGAAGCAGCGACAGCTCGTCTTCTCCTCCTTTTGCTGCCAGAGGTGCGAACAATGATGGCGGCTGAAAACTGACGGCACAAACAAACGGATGCGAAACACAATGGTGCAACATGAGATCTGATTGGTGGATGGTGCTCGGATAGAGAGACGTAATTGTTTGTTATTATTGTTATTAAGAGTTGGTGAGTTGGTTGTGGTGGTGATGGTTTCGGGCGGAGGGCGGTCGGCGGGCGCGCGTTTACTGCCGGCCGGCAAATAGCTGGTACTGGAACATCACACAGAGAAAACAAAACCATCCGATTAGAACGAGCGTGCTCCGCGGGTTTTTGAGGCCGGCTGGCGCGCTCGCTATTCAGCGATGGCGGCTGGTCGACGTTTATACAGTCTTCCAGCCCATACATTTACATAGATTTATTTTGGTTTCATGTTTTGGCACATATCAAAATGATTGATGCACAATCAACACTACTCTCAACCGATTTTTCAATGCAGCAATATTTATAGATGGATTCTACAGCAATCATTTCGAAAGCAGCACATAATGTCAACAAATTTCGTGTATTTCGGATGTTTCTGATGATATGATGGTGGCAACATTCAAATTATTTTTAGTTTAGAATTTGTTTAAAAGTCGTTTAAATTATGTGATGCTTGAACCTTTAAACGCTTAAAATATTTAAGTTGATTTTAAATGGTGTGCAGTGAAAATTGATCGGCTCGCATGCAAGTCGAATGACCGGACCTGTACAAAGGGGGAATCACATGCCTTTATAATAAAGTTTGTACAAAAAAAAGCGATGGTGGCGCCCAGATTAGTTCATGTAAGCCAGATCGTTCGACGCAATCGGGCGCGTGTAGGTGCCTCTGTAAAATTTGCGTTCGCGCAGAATGCGTTGGAAGTAGTTCGAATCGAAATTCGAGTCCTACAACACGAGAAAACATTAATACCCTTCAATTTTCACTGCGCAAAACGCACAAAGCCGTGAAGCAAGATGGCGGACAGACAGTACAACAGTCTCTAAAGTCTATAAAGTCTATACTGATGAGGAAAGATGGCGGCTTTGTACGATTTTGAAAGCATGAAGAATTCAGTAAGCAACAAGTCCCGACAAGGAAAGATTTAAGGGAAAAGAAGAGAAGAGACGGATGAGATAGCGAATGCACGACATGATGACATTTGATAATGATTGTGTGGCGTGGTAGCGATAGTGTCCAAACGTGTATGCGACTAAAATGAGAGTGCGTCAATATTAGCACAATCCACAATGATATACAATCACACGTAATGATATATCTGCGATACGGCAATGAATGATTTTGTTTGCGTTTGTTTGTTTGGTTGTCTATAGTGTGAGTGTGGGTGTGCTGGTATTTTCTATACCACACGATGGTCATACGTACGTACATTCAGCTAAATGTAATGTTCAGGGAGGGACATTTCCTAACCGTGCTACTAGAGAACACTCGGCCGTTGCTCGGTTGGTGTGAAGAGGTGAATCTTACCATGCCGGAGCCAAGCTGCTGCAGCAGGCCCGAGCCCTGCGACCCGCCCAGCGCGGACATCGCCGAGGGCCGCCGCGACCGGATGTTCTGCATGCTGCTCGTTAGCAGGTAGGGTACGCTGCTGCTCGTGTTGGGCATCGAACCGCCCTATAAAAACGCACACACACGTATATCACATCCGAAAACAACATAAAAATACAATAAGATATTTTTTCAAAAAACACACGCGCAAAACAACAAATCACATGGTATTGTTAGTGAGAGTTTGTGATAAGTAGTTATTTTTTAATGTTAAGCTAACTATTAGTTACGGCCCAAGATCAAGTAGAATGGTGGCGGGCGATAACAAAATACGCGATTGTCGGACGGCGGCGAAGCGCTAAGCCGAGCATAATCCGAGCGTGCGGAAACTTTTCGCCGTCGCGCTGCGAAGGGCTTAACGACAGAATTACGTATCGGCGCGCTTCATCAGCTTGCTCGCTCGCAACTCCAAAGCTTAAACTCACAGCCCGCTAGGGATTTGCTCATGATTGTAACCACATTCTACAATGTAACCACAGAGACAAGAAAAACTTGATTTTGGACCCGAAAATTCTTCAAAAAAACATTTAAGCTATTTCTACACAGATAAAACAACATTTATTAAGTGTAAGTTGTGTAGTGACACAGAAAAAAATCAAATAGTTGATGTTTAAGGTTAGATTTACGCTGCCATTTTGATTTTTTTCTTTCGCAAGTTAATATCTTAAATTTTATGTGTTTGAGTTTTGAAAAAGACACATAGAAAGAACACGATTGTTTTCCATCGAGAAATACTCACTATCATGCTCCGTGCAAGCTGAATTAGAGACAGAGGCGGCAATCAAACACAAGTTTGCATGATCCAAGCACGGTCGGACGGCACAAATGAGAATGAGAACATACGAATTCGTGATTAGATTTCGCTTAAACTTTTAAATCAGATACAAACAATTAAATAATTAAACACACCATGATAGGGTTTCAAGAACAACATGGCAGGTACTTAAAAAACCGCTTTTTATCGATGTTTTTATACTAAATTTCAATAAAAACCGGTTTTAAAACACCACTAAACCCTTTTTTGTTCTGAGCGAAAACAAGGGGAATGTTTGGCTTGCGATTAGTACGATGACGAGTTGGGGGGCAGAATGTAAGTCCTTGTTTGTCCTGTCGATTTGGTGGTGGAATTATGGCTGCCGTTTTGCGTGGCACATTATCCATAATTCGATGATGATCATGATGGAGGTGGCAAACACACGAAAGTCAACGTACACAACTGCAGTCCGAGGGGGTTTATGGTGGTTGAATGATGAGTGAGGGTGTGTGAATGCGAACAAGACAGGGCGATGTATAACGCAATGTGTGATTTTATCACTGCATTCGTTTGATTTTCTTTTCATTTTTTTTTGGTTTGGTTTTGATTTTGTTGATACGGTAAGTAATTAGTAATTAGTGGTTTGGCAAACTTACATACGACGACGGCACCGATATGCTCGAGCCCTCGCGGGACACAGAGCTGTACCCTATGGCACCCTGTTCGGAGCAATTCGTATTTATACAGATGTCAAAATTGTAACACACACTACACACACACACACACATCGAGACCACACATTCACACAGTATGAGAAACGCAGTGAGAGCTTAGGTTAGGTTTCGATGAACGTAACCTAACTCTTGATCTTGATTCAAAATACTGAGATGTTTGAAGATGTTTTCGATATTTAGCGCTAATTACACACGTTCAGTCAGCCGCTAGCGCTACACGTGAGTCTACTCGACATCCAACTACCTCGCACTACCCTAGAAAAACGTCTGCTGACAAATGCTGACGGTATACGTGTGACGAATGACATAAACAACCAACACACAAACACACAGAGATTAGTTACCGTTGGTGGTGAGAGGTTCACGGTGGATCCGCGTCGTTCCTGCGGACCAATACTGGAATGTCGTCGGATAGGCAACCCGCCACCAGGGGTACCACCCGGGGAGCTGGCGCATGAAGGTGCGATGCGTATCTTGGGTGTCATCAACGTGTTGTCCGAAAGTCGACGGTTGGGGAACGCGTTGCTCACCTTCAGATAGTTACTATCGGGCGATGAAGGTGATCCACCAAACCACCAACCACCCAACATACCCCCTGCAATATAAAAGTAGAAAACGTGAGATGGAAGGTTATGTTATCGTAAGTGGCTAAGCGAACATCCACCTGCCGAGTTCTTGCGGGCCATGTCTTCGGCACTGGAAGTCTTACGCTGTTCCACACGTAAATTGGGGATGTTGAAGGGTGGTACGTGCATGTTATCCGAACTGTATTGGTGACGCAGCGGGCGGTGCCGCTCTGGACTTGGCAGAGACAGGTTGTCGAGTTTGAGTTTGTTGCGTTGATTGCGGTCGATCTGGTCGAGCATCTCTTGGAGAACTTCCAATAGCATCGTGAACTGCTCGAGGTTCAACGAGGGGTTGACTGTTTGTGGGAGCAAGCTGGGCATCACCTTTGTTGCCATCAGATTTACAGAGAGTCCGTATTTCTTATCACTAAGCATTAGTCGATAAATATCTACAAAACATTTTTTTTTAATTTTAAAATTTTTAAAATGTTTTAGTTTTTAACTTACTGACTACTCGTAGTGTGATTATCGGATCAGACAGTCGGATGTCATAGAGTAAAGGCAATACTTCGTCGATAATTTGACTCTTATCTAATCTATCTAGCGTGCGCTCAACGCACGACAATACGTTGGAGACGATCTTCAAGTCGTTCTGGTTCTTCTCGTAGATCATCTTTGTTTTTGGTAGAATCATCCGTCGGATCGCCATTTCATCCAGGTATTCAGAGACGTTCGTCACTGCGACTAGTGCTGCACTCTACAATATTAAGAACAACGTAACCTTTGTGCGCATACATATAGGCAACACACAATACACTTTTTTATTTTAAAACTGAATACTTACTTGTACTTGTATCGTGGTACTTTCGAAAGCACTGTATAACATCGGCAGAACTTCTGTGCGGATGTCATCACGCGGTGTTTTCTCTAAGATGATGTGTAAATTTTCTAAAAGCGTTACGGTCGCTTGGACAGACTTTGGTGTTGAAAATACACTCCTGCAAGGTAAAAACAATTTTTCATTTTTTTTCTATAAAAAACACTTTTAGAATATTTAAAGCATGCGCAAGCGCATTTTAATTTCCTAGACGTTCATCGCTCATCGTCCTGTTGCTGTTGATATCGTCAATATTTACACAGAGCAAATCTGTGTGCTCGGATGTGTATCGAATTTGTTAAGGGATTAGTCGTGCTGGGGATTACACGCGTCCTCATCCCCGCGTCCGAGTTGTGCGTGGAGAGTTGACTCCGTTTCTGGATCCGATCCGAGGCTGCCGATTCAAAATTACGCCGCGTAAGCTCAACTAACGATTGCTGCGTTGGTGGCTGGATTATAATTAATGTAAGATCGCGCTTGTTGCGGTATTGCCGACGACGTCGCGTAAACAGCGAGTGGATGCTGGAGGACGATTTAAATTGTTTGCGCCCGCAATTTTCTCCGCCACTGGAGTGTATTTGCATACAACGATGGCGGCATCAGCACATTTCGTAATAGACACGATAAGAATCATCTTAACTACTAAATCAGATGAAATTAAATCGAAAAAAACTTTTGAGAGAGAAAAAAATTAAATTTTTCTTACCTAAAGGACGGAAGAATGATGTGTTCGTATTCTTCAATTGTGGATTCGTTAATTAAGTAGAGGACTGGCTGCAGGACTGCCGCGAGCACCTCCTGCGTCTTCATCTCTTGCTGCAGCGAAGGCCAGACGTGCTGATACCACAATTTCTACAAAATAGAATTATAATAACAAGCCGTCCACGATATATATATAGATGTGGATAAAACGATTCGAGTTTTACGGCTTTGGACGCAGAGAAGATGGGCACGTTTGGGACCTGGTTATGCAATATCTAAGGGTTTTACTCTTAAGCTTCTATTCCAGCTAGACGCTGCAAGTTTCATGCAGGAAAGCTTTAGTGAAGTAAAATAGAATAAAACTATCAAGTTTATTTTTAAAAAAATTCTCTTTTTTTTAGAAAATTACTTAACTAATTAGTGTTTGTTCTGGTTTCTAACAATTAACTGTTTAGATGTCGTAAATTTTTATTTCACTAAAAGCAACGATAAGAAAGGCAACAATTGATTATGTCTGGAGTACACTCTCCAGCTGCTTTTTGCTTTTCAGTCAGTTTGGGTCCTTTCACGCCCGTTTTACTTTCGGTGTACTTCAATCTTCTTGTTCAAAAGTTTCGAGCGTTGCTTGAGTTTTGTCCTACCGCATGTTTGCTCAGTGCTCGTCGAGATGGAAAGTTAACGCTGGTTTTAAGTCCGCATGACATAAAGAGGATGCTTCTTTCGATCCGTTTTCATTATTTTTCGTGTTTGTATTGTGTGTGTTTTTATTTTTGAGTACCTTGATGTGAATTGGAGAGTTGGGAAGCAAGCGCGTGGAAGTTTTATCGACGGAATTTGTTTTCTGCGCACGTTTCGCATTAAAGAAAAATATTTATGTCAAGTTATATGAATTGCCATCTTGGGGAGTGTTTAAGCAAGCGATCTAAGGATAATATTTTCACACGATTGAAATTTAGGAAGTAAAATATTTTCGGGGTGCGATTTTAACATTAATTATTATAATATGTGCTTTTTTTATAATATGTGTTACCTTTGGGACGTAGGGTAGCGCTTCTTTGAGAGTACTGCGATAAAAGTGTGCCTTCTGCGTGGGATCCTTCATGTTGATGACGTCGAGAAATTGCAACGCGTGCACGGCCGGATCGCTGGAAATGAGGACGAAAATAGGGCATAAATAAGTAAGCAGCAAACGGATATTTCAAGCCTTCCTACAACCATCATACAAACAATTCCAATCATCCGCAATCCTCGAATTCAATACAAGTATAAATAACGAACAGGGCGTAAATCATCAACGCACAGAGATAAAAAATAAATAAAAAAAACTACACAAACTGTTTTTTGACGTTGGTAAATATTAGTTTTTCGTTTAGAAAGTTTTTGTTGTGGAAAATCCCATTTGATGCTAAATAAATTGCAGAGTAAAACTCTGGATAAATCTACATAACCTTATCAAAACTTCTGCACTGTACAATGTACACGAAATGCAAAATGCGCGATTTACGCTTGGGGGAGCGCATGCAACTTTGCAACTGTAACTTTTAGTTTTCGATTTGTGGTTTTCATGTTTCATTTTTTTATTTGTTTTGCATGTCTAGCCAGTCTAAGTAAAGCAAATTTTATTCAAAGATGAATTATGAATAAAACAACCTGTCAAAAATGTGACAGCTGACATTCTAGGTTATAAAGACGTCAATCCTAACCTATAATGAAGTTTTTTACAAAATTCTTTTGTGTAAAGAATGTTTGTTGATTTAGGAACCATTTCTCGGCCTTTGGTACACAATACACAAAATATTATTTACTTAGGTACCTGAAATATTTGATTAGCGATAGCAACTGCGCCGTGGGTCGTTGTCGGGTGTCCTTGCTGAGCAGGCGCACCGTCGCTTCCTGCAGCGGTATCGGCACTCGTGGCAGTATATTGTGAACTTGATCCTCTAACTAAAAAGCACCCAATTAAAAATCTTTGTTATTGAACTTGACCTTGTTATATAATCAGGTTGAGAGGAATATTTTAATACTATTATATTGTTTTCATTTCCTCTTTGAAGAGTATTCGCTCAACCATTTAAAATATTTCTCGGAAAAATTCCGCCGCGCTGCACTACTTCCTCGAGCGCGATCGTTACAAGACGCAAAACACAAAAGTGGACTAATTAATGCGCGCTTAATTAAGTTAATTAAATTTGCGTTGGTGTACGTTCGCCTCTATTTTCTTCCGTTCAAGTTTAATAGCGACTTTGATTTAGTTTTATGAGTATGAACAAAACGCACTTGGAAATTTTCGCGTATAAGTTAATTAAATCGATAAGAGAACACAATAAGTGTATATTATGAATATGCAAAATAAACAATTAATTACGATATTAATGAAGAGAGATGCAAGAAATGCAAGTGAAATGTTTGTGTGTTCATTGGGTTGCCTAGATACGTTTACTGAAGGAAAAAGAATTTTTCATTTTATGAAGTTGAATAATAAAATTGATTTTCAAGTAATTTGCACAAGGCGCAAATGGCGCATAACACGAACCGAAAACTTTTTCACCCGTCTTCATCGTGCAACGTCAGCGCTAACACTTCTGAATAAGACATCAAATGCAGCAGAGCGAGTTTCATAATCGGATTCGCCGTGCACTTTCGCGTGTGAACATTTTTGAATGCCATAACTTTTAAGACGCGTGAAAAGTTAAAAACTCGCATATTTTACTAGGTTTTCGAGATTATAAATACATTAGATTACCAATTCGAGTTGTTTCAAATAGCTGGAGCTAGAGTGCTGGGCCTGGATGAGCGGCCGGCCCTGATTGAAGATCGCGCAGATGACCATCCCCAGCGAGAACATGTCGCTGAGTATGCTGCATATCGATTGCGTTTGCGTTTCGGGGGCTGTGTCGCACCGCAGCACGCAACAGGCGACAAATCACGCACACCGCATGAAACAAGGCCAAAACACAACATCGAATGTCACTTGTTGCACACACAGTGGGTCAGTGGGAATAATGGATGGGTATGAAAAACTGTCATAAAATGCATGTTAATACACAAGTATTAAAATGAATTACATTTCTCAGAAATCGTTGGTTTTGATGGTAAAAAAATTGAGTTTTGAGTTCAAAATTTAAAATTTACGGAAAATCACAATGAAGGCTTGATTTATGACGTCAATATTGAGTTAAAAAATGAAAAATTGACGGTTATTCAATGAAAACAAAAGAAAATGTAAAAAATCCAATTGAGTTTGACTGCGGATGTGACGTCATTGTTGAGTTATTTCCTTTCAATGGTATCCTACATATTTTTGCGGTTTTCCAAATTTCGCGTTTTTTTTTAAACAAAAAAATTCCATTAATTCTTCATGTATTCTTTAATTTATTAAAAAAATAATAAAATTTTCTGATTTTTGTGATTCTATTGTTACTAAAATTACTAAACAATATATATTAGTTGTTTACCTGTATAGTCGAGATTGGGTTGAGCCATTTTCGATAATCTGGACGTCCACGGTTGACAGGGCACGGGTTCAACGCCATCCACATCGTTCACCCTCTCTGCAACACATCGTCGAAAGGATTCTGTTAGATTGCGTCATGTGGTGCGGAACATGCTCGTGCGATCCGAAACAAATTACAACCAAAAGAGCGCTGTGTGCAATTTTGTTCTATTTAAAGTCCACAGGAGGCATAAATCAAAATCGTCCTTTCCTAGATTCAATCAAAATAAAATCAAAAAAGTAAATTGCGGATTTGTTGAGTATGAATACGTAAAAATGTCAACATAACTTGCTTGAGTTAATATTTTTAATTGAAATTTTGTTGTTTTTTACCCCGGCTGGTGCTGTTTGCATCGCGGCAATTCGTTATTGTGCTTGGGTGTTTTTAATTTATTTGCAGACTAAATACACACATTTGTGCTTGCATTTCATTTCAGGTATACATGAATATTTATTTTTCGTGCTTTCATTCATTTTATCGCCGGTGCTTTTTTCGTTGAGTTATTTGAGGTTTATGTAAAAATGTTTGTTAAAATTAAAATATATTTTCGGAATAAATTTTATTTTATGAATTCATAGCGCCGCCGGGTACGAATCTAGATAATCAAAAGAAAAATCTTGTGACTTGAGTTATTAAACGATTTTGATAAAGAAAAAGAATATTGCGGTTTATCGATGGCCGCACACAGACTCTGTGAAAACTGCAGAGATGTTTTTTTTTTTGCTTGGGGTTTTTAATAGCCTCTTCTCTTCTTGCTTGGTTGCCCGGGTCATTTCTTTTTTTTTTTCATGCTTTTTTATGCGAACAAAACCCGCGTAGGCTCCCATTGAAAAATTTCCAACGACCACAATAAACGTCTCGGTCCAGGAAATTTATTCCATTTTCTACCTTCCGAGAAGTTTTTCAAGCATGATCAAACGAGTAGAAGTAAGTCCAAGATAAGAAGAAGATGAGGAAAAAACGAAGAATGCGCTGCTAATTGAAGTAGATGTATATTAAAAGCAAAAAACTTTGTGGTCATAATTTTTATAAATTTTCATCATCACAACATAACCTCGATTCGTAGAAAAGAGGAAAAAAAACTTTAAATCAGTTTGATGACGTTAATGTTGATGTTGTGATGTTGGGCGAGACAAATTTTCCCTTTGATGGTTCCGTATCGCCAAAAACAGGTGGGCGTAAGCTCCGGCTAAAAATAACACCGTGCCATCCGGTCGCCGAAGGCAGTAGCAGCGCGGCCGTGACATATTAATTAGACTTTTAATTGATTGCGAAACTTGGCGACCTGTGCCAAGACTGAAATTTCAGTCTTTGTGTGTTTTGATGATTAATACTCTTCGCTGTATTTACATATTTACGGTGTGATTGTTTGCTGGGCGATTGTGTGACACGCTTCACCGGATGTTGTTTTACAGCTAATTGAATCAAGGTTCATTTTAATACGGAAGAGTTCTTATTGAATTACTTATAACCGGGAAGGTATGGAATTTTAAATTCTTAGTGACGAGGTTAAATTCATCTAATTCCGGGAGTAAAAAGAGCAGAATGATAATTTTTACTATTTTTTATAAACAATTTAAAATAGAGTGTAGAAAGGTGTATGAAATTATTTAAATTATATAAATTATTTGATTAATAATTTAAATTTAAGAAAATTGCGTTTTAAATCTCATAATTGCGATGTTCTACTTTGATGCCTCATAACTTAAAAACTAAAAAGGGTAAATTAATGATTTAACGTTTTCTGGGAAGATAATATTAAAGACTATTAAAAGGAAAACTTAAACTTTGCCTTTTTCTTAGTAATACTTAAGCCATATTAAAAAGAATTATGAAAGCAGCGTCTAATTAAACGTAAAAACTGGGTCAACTTTGAATTACGATAATTTTAATGATTTTATAGGCATAATTCATATTAAAAATTCAATAAATAAAAAATTTATAGGACATTTAACGTGTATAAGAACAACTTTATATTTCTAGTCATTATTCTGTTAGGTTAATTGAAGTAAATGCTTAAATTTTTATACAATTGAAGTGAAAATCGTTATAATTCCGAATCTAATAAAGATTTAGATGCCATTTCTTTGATAAATCTTATGATTTATTACAATATTTGTTTTGCAAAGCGGTTAAAATTGTTGTAATACATGCGTAAAAATTAAAAAAAATGTAAAATTAAATTGAAATTCACGTTTTTCACGCATTTTTCACAAACATTTAACTATTGACTATTGAAGTAAAAATTGTCATAATTCCGAATCTAACAAAGATAAAGAAGCCATTTTTCTTTCTTTTGTTAAATCATAAAACTTATTATAATATTTCTTTTGCAAAACTGTTAAAAATTTGATATTATGCGCATAAATACCAAAAAAACAAAAATAAAATAAAAATTTCCAATTTTCAAGTGTGTGTACATGTAATTAGGCTAAATTGTAATATTGGCTGGCAGATCCACGTGGCAAACACGCAGATAGCAGACAGGTGGGAGCGCTGCGCCGCCTTTCTGCATATCGATTGAAACGCACCCCCAGGATGTGCGATGTGCGACGTACGTTTGCGGCGTGGCGTGGCTTCTGTTCTCATCCAATACAAAATATAGGTCACTTTACAGTCGCCGACCAAAACAAGCGCACACACTCGACGCAAAAATTAAAAACACCGAATAAACTTTCCACGAAGCTTTTGTCTAGTTCGGCCGGGATTTAGTATAGCTTACAGCTTAGAGCAGCAAACACGCAATTGTTTATTTACTGCACTTTGGAGTAAAACCATCGACAATTTGATCAGCAGTGAACTGAACTCAACTCTCTACTGGGAGAGTGCAGGAGTATCTCAACTTCCGCACGTGGAAAAGTCCGGCTGTCGTAGCGCCTGCGGGCAGTGCGATTGTGCGCTATTGTCGAACAAGTTAATTAGTCATTCCAGTTTGACGCGCAGTGCGCCCCTGCGAATTTGCAAATTTCGTCCTTTTATCTCTTCCGCTTCTGTCTCTCCAGGGAGGAGAGTCAAGGCAACTGCACGCTTATCCAAACATCAGTTGATATGTTTCCATTTTTCATTTGCCTCAAGCATTTTATTGCTATTTGTAAAAATGTTGAGAAAAATTCTCCAAAAATTCTTCGGAAATGAGAAATTAATATATTGAAAATGTATTCTCGTGGAAAATGAGCCTTTGTAACCTGATTACGGGCTGCACAAATGGTGGTGGTGTTTGTGCAGCTGCTTTTGAAGAAAAGAGGGAAATCCACTTGTGCACGCCGAATGAATCCAGGAGTGATTAAAGTTTCATACATAAAAGCACAAAGCGCTCGCGTCCATTTCGTCCATTATGGGCCGCGCGCGAGAGTTCGCGCAGTGCTTCAGTAAAACGCTTTTTTATTGCTTTATTGCACTGAATTTAAAGCGTTCCTCTGCCGGCTGCTTGCACGGAAAAGAGCCACGCTAATAGAATTTCGATTGGGAGTCGAGCTGCGGTCATAAAAGGCGCATGAATTTCACATTTTTATACTCAATGCCAGATTTTGACTGTTGGACTACTAGCTCGTTTATGACTTGTTCTATTGTCATTGATATGGGCATTGCAATGGCACTATTCTTTTACTACAATGAAATAAAGCAAAAATTTGGCAAAATAATAGAATTTCAACGCAGCAAAACTATAAATTCTACAATTTTCACAAAAAATCCAGATAATAGTGCATTTTACTGAACTTTCATGAAATAATTAAAAATCTGAGTTTTAATTTAAAGAAAAAAACTTTTACGATAGTATTCATAAACAAGCAATAATTAGTAATGTTCCTAAATGTAAAATAGAACTAATGAACAATTTCATGTACCTATATGGTTACATAAAAAATAATTGACTTGATTATTGATTTTTTTGCTCGCATTTTCGAGCAGTGCAAATCGGATTTGTTTTGACAGGAAGAACTTGATTTTTCAGTACGCGCATAAAAAATTCATTTGAATATTTCAAAAATATTCCATTCAATTCAATTAAATTGCTTGATACGCTTTCAATTCAAAGTTAATTTTAAATTTAAAAGGAAATTAAAGTACAAAATATTAAAGCAAAATTAAAGTTTTGCATTTAAAATAATTTAATGGTACGATTAAAAATGTTTAATATAAGTATATAGCGTTTTTCTTTTTTAATTTAAATGCAGTTTCATATATTTTTTACCAAAGATATTAATTTATTAACTTTTGCAGTTTACATTGCTTTCAAAGCGCGTGCAATGGATTGCAGAATATTTCAAAATGCTGATTTTATATTACACTCGGTATTTTATGATTCTCTGGCATATTAATAACAGAATGTATATATTTTAATGTTTTTAATGTATAGTTGGCAATCAAATTTTAGAAACAAAAAATCATAAAGCGTATGAAATTCAATCAAATCATCAGAATTTTACACAAAATTCAACTTTGCCATTTAATTAGGTTAAAATTGCTTTAAAAGCATGTATAATGGGTTGCATAATATTGCAAATTGCAAATTTTTTTATTACACCCTATATTTTATGATTCTATTATCAATTAATAACAAAATATATATATTTTAATACTTTTATAACTTATGTATAGTTTGCAATTAAATTTTACAAACAAAAACTTATAAAACATCAAAAACTCTCTCAAATTATCAAAAATTTCAACATTTTTGCAATTTTCCGATTAAAAACACCTTGTATATGCCTAGTATCAATAATAAAACTCTCATCCCAGTTGCTATTTAATGTACTTCGAAAAAAGGCCTAAATACCCACCAGCTGTGCGTGTGCGATACGTTAAATATTAAAGTGTGATTAAACAAACGTATACGAGTGTTGGATTTCAATAATTTACACTCGTACATAATAGATTCGCGCTGGTGTTGGTAGAAATGGCGGTTGTAACACTTTCGCATCATACCTGTGAATTCGAGTCCAGCCAATTTCCACGTGCCCTTCTTGGTGACGAGGATGCTCGCCGGACACACGTTCCTGTGCAGCACATGACCCGAATAATGCAGAAAGGAGAGCGCTTCCGTTATCTGGAATCGATAAGCAAACGCCACACTAAAATTAACCAAACTAGCTACAATACACACAACCAAACACACACACACAGTGTAAAAATCAAATAAAATAAAATAAAATAAAAACGAAGAAAAAATCATTCATAAATGTTAAATTATTCATTGTAAATTGCATAAATTGCAAAGGGTTGTTGTTTATTAGCGAATATAGCGAATATATTAATTCGCCGAGAGAGGCTGAGAGGCTGCAACTATTCGTGTAAATCCTTCGAGACACGTGTTGACTAAAAAGCCCAGCTCGAAGCAGCGGTGGATTAGGGCAGGTCGCGTTAAATGCGAAGCCGCCCCCGGTGACGTCCCGATGGGAGGCGGCTGTCGACGGCGTCGGGCGCTCGCCCAGACAGAAGGATTGTCAGCGCTAAGCTCGATAATCCTGTTGGGATTGTTGCTCTTGAATTATTCAGAAATCATTACTGCAACTCTATTAAATTTTAATTATTTAATAAACTATATCATCATCAAATCAAATCATTTCAATTTTAATCACAAAAAATAAGTTTTTCTTTAAATTCATTACCAAGACATTAAATTATAAATATTTTACTTTAATAATGATTTTATCGCTTGAATATCACCAAAAATAGATCATATATATGATCTGTCATTCATTTTTGACATTTACATAACCTTAAACTTTAATTTTGACAGTTCTGTCAACAACAGGAGAAAATTCAAAGAAAAAATAACTTTTAATCATGAAAAATGTTATTATTGGTGTAGACTTTGCGGAAAATGTTTTAAAAAGTATTTAAAAGTATATTTTTTAACACTTAATGAACAATTTAGTAATATACTCGTATTGAGTTTTTTTGTAAATTTTCATTTTTTGATTGCTTGATTTGCTTTAAACTAACTGCTTAGATATAAAATTACTCATATTTTACTATAAAAATGATTTTATCGCTAAAATATCAACAAAAACAGGGCAAATATATTATCTATCATTCACTTTTGACATATACATAACCTTAAACTTTACTTTTGACAGTTCTGTCAACAACAGGAGAAAATTTAAAGAAAAAATAACTTTTAAGCATAAAAAGTGTCATTAATGATGAATTCTTCACGGAAAATTTTGTAAAAAGTGTTTAAAAGTATCATTTTACGCACTTAGTGAACAATTTAGTAATATATTGATTTATTTTGAAAATTTTTATTTTTTGATCTCAAGTTTAGCTTTAAATTTATGGCCTAGACATTAAAATGCTCATATTTTACTTTAATAATGATTTTATCGATAAAATATTACCAAAACCTAATAAATTTGTATTATACCAGTAAGGATAACCTAATAAACTTGAGTAAAACCCTGTAATTACGTAATAACCGTGCAACAAGTGCTTAAGTTTTATCTCCGCGTCCCATCTCAATCTATTAACGCTGCAGAAGTACATAAAACAATCAAATGCATACAGTATGTCCATATGCTCACCTGTAAAATCCCGTATTTGTACTCAATGTCCAAAAAGTTGTACTCCCTCGCGTGGGTAGGTCGCGGTGACGGAGGCGGCGCCTGCGACGCCCCCGGAGGCAAACTACCCCCATGATTCGAGCTCATTTCTTGATGATGCGCCAGCACATTTGCCAAACTGGCATACACGGGCTCCGTCGCAAACGCTAACGTCTCCGGGCATTCCTCGATCGGATGCAGGACGTGCAGGATTTTCGGGTGGCGAAAGCGCTCCAATTGTCGCACGGACGAGCGGAGGATTTCCGTGACTGTTTCCTTGCGTTTTGGTTTATGCAGTTTCTCTGCGCAGCGCTTTTCGAAGAGAAACACTGAACATTCCTGCAACATGATGAAAATCACATTTTTTATTGAAGATTAAAACGACACGCATTAAATATAGAGGAAATTTGTTGCGTGTTACACGTTGTGGAAGGGTGTGAGTAAACGGTGGAAGCGGAGGCGCTTAATACACATACTAAACTGGGCAATTTATCAGCCATTATCGGTTTTTATATTTACTCCTTTTTTCATCCAACGCGCTGGTGGATTTATATGGGAAAGTCATGTTAACGTGCGTCTGATGTATAAAAACAAGTTGTTAAAAGAATATCGAAGAATATTTCTATACTTTAATGAAAAGACTGCAAATTATAGAGCATACGTGTCAATAAATATTTGATGTCTTTACATAACTCGAATGACAGCTTCATTTTGTGGTTATGTCATATTTTATGTGACTTGGTGTCTAATAAACACATTAATTTACTTTTTTTAACTTTTTGTGCTTCTAAAGCTTCGATATATTGTGTAAATGTTGTAGAAATTGTTTTATTAGCAAAAAACTGTCTAAAAACAACATAATTTTAGGTTATAAAAGCATTCGTCTGTTTCTATAGATCATATAAAGCCAATGATCGTGTATTTTTGAGTATTTAGTGCGCCATCTAGCGTAGCATACCCAAAAAGTAAATATTAACATAAAATTACTTTCTTTGTATTTAAACGAAAAAAGAACTAATATTAGAAGTTTTTTATCATCTACAATTGACATATAGGTAGTATACATAATAAATTTATGAAAGTTTCACCAGCCACGTAGTTAATCTACAGAGCAAATTTATTTTCATCATGCGCGGCGAAAACTTTTCCACGCGCTCGCCTCGCTCATAATCTAATTATCTAACAAAAATGGGCGCAGAGTGAAATTAATTATATCCGTTTGCACACGTTCAGATTAAATAAAACCTCTTTTTTTTATATAAATTGCAATTGAAATAACCTTCAAATCAAAATTTCTCAACTTGTGTTTAACAGATGGCAGCACACAGATAACTTGCTACCGGGTTGAAAATTACAGCAATTTCGCGGAATGTCTAAACGAGTAATTGCATAGTGTCTGCTGTGTAATTCTGAGTTAAGCACAGTAAGTTTCGAGCTCATAGTTGGGTTGGAAGTGAGAGATATGCCGTGGTGCGGTTTGGGTTGACGCCCTTTGGCTCAAGACGAAACGCTTCTAACTTAATTTCCAGCGCCACGGTCGGTGTAAGTTGTAATCCGGAATTAAATTACATTTTCCGGCATGACTAAGTAATTGTTTCAGTGCAAACAATATTATAATTATTTATCATCAATTCCGTTCGTGGTGTGTAATATATATGGAGAGATATATAAACAAATTGCTATCCAGTTACATTTTAATGAGAAAACCGTATCATAACTTTTAATGCGGATTAAATTTATTCACTTGGTTTCACTTGCGTTTTGGTTTCAATTTTGATACATATCGTCAACTGAATATTATTTATAAATATACAATATGTACGTGCTGGAAATTTAAATAGGGGAGATATATGATCTGTCATTTGGTTATGACAGTTACATAACCTTTAAATTTACTTTTGACAGTTTTGTCAACAGCAGGCGAAAATTTAAAGAAAAAACAACTTTTTGGCATTAAAAATGACATTATTGATGTTTACTTCCCCGAAAATGATGTAAAAAGTGTTCAAAAGTATCATTTTACGCACTTGGTGTAAAATTTAACAATTTTATTAAGTTCTTTTGTAAATTTACTCTTTAAATTCCTGCTTTTGATGCCTGTTAACCACACTGTATGTAAAAAAGTGTATCAAATTAGAAATTTCATCCTTATTCAGAATGAAAGTCAGGAATCTCATCATTTTTCGACGGCGTGTTTGGCGCACAATGAAATTCGATTCGATTCGCAGAGCACGCATAATTCCTCGGCCTAATTCCACCTCATGCTCCTCACCAGCCATCTCCAAAGCCATGGAACAGGATTGCTCCGAGTCCTTTCTTACCTCACAGCGGCTGCCGTCGATTGACAATACTTTGAATGAACTTTTGAACTTTCATCGCGCATTGTGCGCGCAACTTCATTTGTAACAAACACGCTGATACCTGGCGCGTTTAGCTGACGTTCCGACATTTATTACGAGCGAAATTCCGCGAATTGTTGAATACCGAATGAGCTCCGAATGAAACTTGTTGACCTGGACTTGATTCATGATTTCCGCAAACGCGACTGCATACAAATTATGCACATTGACATATTTTTCATGCAGGAAGGTACATCAAATTAAGGATACACCTGTATATATCGAGGCACAAAATCGAAGGACGTAAGATTAAGCACCAATTTAATAGAAGCATCGGAAATGGCAATGGCGTTGAGTGCGGGAAATGTGGGTAAAATTGAACGTAAACACGTGGGCGAGGAAATATAGGTTGAAGTAGGTCGCGCCGGATGTGCGGAAACATGCGAACGGTGATTATCGAACGATAACAAACCGCACCCAGTAAGATTCAATCCTATTAGACTCGGGGCTCTTCAAAGCCCATTCGATACAAATCCATAATCATTCGGATGGAAGACCCAGCAACTAAATTATGTTAATTATTGCATCAAACTACAAATTGCGCTGTTGCCAAATAAAATCTTAACATAACCTTATTTACAATGTCATCCTGATCCACATGATGACATGTTTGGAGATTAATATCAAGCTGTAATCACGCGATAGCATCGCTGTTAATGACGCCACTAACGTCCGGTTTGACCACATTGCTGAAACCAGTGCAGGCTGCGACCTCGCCACGTGTCTAATCAACCAAAGGCAACATAACCCCCAACACCTTTCATCATCATCCACCGCCAGCGCCATAAACCAGTTGCTTCGGCTGTGTGTCCCCGCGAGGTGCAAATCGTTATCTTAATTAATAACTTGACGCTTGACAATACAATATTGTGTTTGCATTTTGCATTATATTGTACGATTCAATTTCCTCCTACGCCTTCGCTGAGAGTTGGAGAGAGGAGGCGGCAACGCGGCAACAGGCAGTTGACGCACGTAATTAATTGCATGCTGCACATACTGCATGCAAATATTGCACGTCGAGATGAAAGTGAGTGTACTCTGAGAGCGTCGCGACGCTCGATATTGCATTAATTGTGCGCACGAAACAATTAACCAACGTCAAACTAATTAAATCTGTGTGGATGGAAATAAACACAGATAAAGTTTTGTGTTTGGGTGAATGAAAAATTGGTTGCCTATGGTATAGTAGGTATATGCTATGCATTTTATTTTATGCAATTGCAATAAGATGGCGTTAGTTGTTTCACTTTTTGACAGTGAAAATAAATGTTTTCTTTTATGGTGTAATTTTAAAACTGAAAGTAAGTAATAAAACGTGTAATTTCCTCTCTGCACTTTATGAAATTTGCCTGCCACATTTTGATGTTATTATCATTCACCCACGATTTCGCACCGGCGCTCATATTTTTACGCCCCCGCACAACACCGAAAATAGATGCGGCGTTATTTTCGTCGCCGCACGTGTCGCATGCAAATTTCCGGTGCTTTGTTTACGTTTTGCGTGGAAGCAAGCAAATATCGTGACGTGAGTGAATTTAAAACCTTAGCTTCTATATACGGAAAAAAATTGCAACGTTTTGCAGCGTCTTTTGCGCGGATGTAAGATATCTTTGCAGTAAATAATAAGCCCGGGAAACTCATTTTCTTTCGGCACGGTTACGACTTTTGTTCAAACACACCTGCTGCTCGCAGGACGCGCAGGACTTAACAAAGGCACGAAGCGCTATTTTATCTTGCGCCCGAGAATTAAACTGACTGCAACCGAAACGGAAACGCTGCTTGCGACGACGGCGGGTTTTCAAACTTCCCGACACGTAAGTGCCGGAAAGAGGTGCAAACTTTCGCTTTCCGGTTAGCAGCTTAAATCCCTTTTTATTTTAAGTGTGTAAGTTACCAGCGAAAAGTTTAAAATTAATTAAATTTATGTAAGGTTTAGGGCGCATGCGCTGCTTACCTTTCCGTCACTTTTCCGGTAAGCGTCATGAATACGCCAGACAAGTTCCGGTCCGGCACTGGCGATCTGCTTGCCGATTTCGAAGAATTGTCCGATCGGATTCGTCTCGAGCGGGCTCTGCGCGCCGCTTCCGCTCTTGAATTTCGAGAACATCGTTGATGCAGGCATCGATCTTCTCCGGTTCACATTCAAGCCTCACTACACACCACCAGTGTCACTGTAACAAGAAAATACATAACACGATAAAATATTTCTTATGGATACATCAATTTTTCTAATTTAATTTTAAACGGTTGTTTAATAAATAATTACAGGTGAGTTTAAAAGTTGAAGTGTACAGGAGTGGATTTGAATTATGCATTGTCAGTTAGCATGTTGATGCAATCGATATAATGCATCTTTCGATAATGAGGCTTAATGACAGCCATTGTGCGTCAGCTGAGCTCTGGGACATAATTCGTTGTGAATTATAAACTGCCGATTGATTGATTCGAACGACACCGTTGCGTCGCGCTGAAATTGTTTACGGCTCGCTTGAGGGTGATTTTGAGGGATGATTGTTATTGACGCATTGCGTTTCGATATCCGCACATAAATAACGAATTATTTGTTATTCTCCGTTTGGAACATGCTTTAATTCTAACAAAATCAATCAAATCAAATAATTAAATGAACGAAAAAAGTTGAGTGAATAAAAATCACTGCTTTTTGAAAGAAAAAAAATCACAAAAAGTTAAATTTAAAATAAACTGTGTTTTTAACGCTGGATAAAATAAATTACCAAAAAAAAAATGATGTGTGGTAGAGGATTTAACTTCTGTTTGGTAAAAAAATTCCACATTTTTAACGTTTTTACTCAATTTCCACCAAAAAAATAAAATTTCTCTAACTTTTCTTGCACAACAAAAGATCACGTACATTTATAGACAAAATATATATCAATTAAGAAGCAAAAGTGTCGACGCGTCGGACATAATTTAATTACTCATTGTTTTCGATTCGATTAACCTTTCCGTCGGCGCGGAACTCACAGTTGGGTGCGCTGAAGGAAATCAATACGTTTATTATTGCTTCATTGGAACATCACGTTTGCAACACAAGTGTACACTTAGAGCACCGTCACACTCACACGAGGCAATTAATTTTCTTACGGTTAATTGCAACCGTCAACAGTTAATCGATACGCCGCGTTCTGGCGGTTCAAATCAAACGCTAGCAAACACGCATGCGGATAAAAAGATGCAGTTTATCTGCAATTTTATTCGCACAATACATAAATATTGCTGATGGATTTCAATTTGCGATTTAATCCGCGCGCGCAGGTGGATTATTGCTGGTTACCATGGTGCAAACTCGTGCGCGCACGGAAACGTTGTTATCATTTCGGCATTCGTACAATTTTATTTACAATATAAATCCAGCGCAACCCCTTGAAGCGCTATCAGAGCGTGAAACTTCAGAGAGCTGCGGGTGGGGCAAAATTAACTTAATAAATCGAAAACACGCAAAGTTTATTATTCGAAAATTGGATTGCGCAAACTTGTACGAAATTTTAATGTCGCTTTTATAGGAATTCCATGAATGTGACGTCAATATGATACAAATTCTAATATTTTGTTGCTAAATATGCAGTTTATAGAAATTTGTTAGCAAAATCAATAATAAACAAAATATCAAATTTATTTTATCTTGGTTTTTGATATTTTGACTTTAAAATATAAAAAAAATAAAATTTAGAAGCAAAAACGCAAAAAAATTTTTTTTTACAAAAATTATTTGTTAATATTGAATAAAATTGGTTTTGAGGTTAGAAAACACCACTTTTAGTAAAAATACAACATGTCTTCCTTGATAAATAACGATTTTATTAAACCAAAACACATTTATATTATTTGACGAAAATCTTCCTTCGATTTTTGCCTTTTTTTCGTATAGATTCATGAAAGCTTTCCGATCGTCCTGAAAGCACAGGGAATGCAGGTCACATCCATTTTTCTTTTCAGCTGGCATTCAGTCGCGCGACCAAACATTTTGCAAAATGTATTTACATCACTGTGTTGCCACATCTCTGAGTACTTACGTTGATACCCACTGCATTGCGTATATTTCCCCACTGACTGACTGACTGACTGACTGACTGACCACTTCGTATATATCGAGGAATATTTCCGAACTTTTTACTCCTTTTTGCGTTTGTATATTTATGTATGTATATTCGAGTTGTGCAGAAGCCGAAGTGAAGGAAAAAGGTAACAAACGCAAGCACACGCTGAGCTTTGATGGCTCCCTCGGTGTTTTGCGTAAGGGATTGAAAGTGCGGACGCGCCGGACGGAAATACGAATATCGTACGCGTGGGCGCACGTTTTCCACTGCAAACACAATATCTTTCGGCCATCTTTGCCACGTGGCGATCATATAAATGCGATGGCACGTTTTTTATTCATGCGGAAACACGTGAATCAATTTATTTCATAAAAATAAACGCTGTGTTAAAAGTCAAACATAGAAAAATAAATTTTATCCACACAAAAATTGCCCACAGTGTATTTTTAAAGTTGTCATGTAATATTCATGCTGTTACACGTCCAAACTTTATATTTACGTATACTAAGTAAACAACAGCAACTTCATACATTTTTAAAACCTTTGCCCAATTATTATTTGCGCCACAAGTGGCCGAGTAAAATACACCGTCTAATATTTATAACATAATCGACTAGGAAACGTGTTGTTCCTTCCTCTGCAGGAACCTAGGACCGCAAACATAAAATGTGTTTGCACAAAACGCAGCGGTGGTGGCGGTAAAGTTATCGCATGTTGCGAGGGATCACGATACACGAGACCCGCACTCGCGCCGCCGCCACTTCACCGCCCCACCTGTGCTATATTTACGTTTCTAGAGTCCATCTGGAGTTGTAACTACGATAATTCTACATAACTACATATTTAACATTCAAACTTAAATAATTACCAGCATGATGATGATGAATATTAAATTGTGTCGTCACAGCTACCTTCGTTTCATTCCACATCTGTGTGATGTGTATTTATACATTCCTGTAATACAATGAAGGATGTGGTGATGGCGGTCGAGAAGTTTAACGCGAACAAGACGCAACTGGATGGGGTTTACATTGAAAGTTACAATCGCAGGACTGCGGCTGTAAATTCCTTCGCTGTGTGACATGAACGAAAGCGAGGAGAATTGAAGATAATACAAATGTTTCCGTGAGGTTTCCCAACGCGCACGGTTGTCACATTTCATTGTTAATTTGGCAACGTTGCAATTTATCTTGTGGCAGAAAAATGTTAGGTTAAGATTTTGAAGTTTAGCATCCTAACATAACATCGCAATATTAAAAATGTAAATTTGGAGACAAAAAGTTGTTTTCTGTTATAAATTGTAAGTTAAAGTTGAAAAATATGGTTTTGAGGTTAAGAATCAGCACTTTTAGCAAAAATACAACTTTCTTGTTAATTTGGCAACGTTGCAATTTATCCTGCGTCAAAAAAGTGAGGTTAGGTTAGGTGATTGATAAGCGTGTTTGATGTTAATAAGATTTTAAAGTTTTTTGTCAAAAATTTTCAGTTAAAATTAAAAAAAATGATTTTGAGTTTAAGAATCACAACTTTTTGCAAAAATACAATTAATATTTCTTGAAAATTTGGCAACGTTGCAATTTATCTTCTGTCATAAAACTTTAGGTTATGTTAGGTTAGGTGATTGAGGTTAATGAGATTTTGAAGTTTAACTTAACTGTCAAGTGCATTCGTGGTCAGTAACATTCATATTGTGACGTTGTGAAGTTGTGATAGAATTTACAGCGCACAAAGAGCGAAAAAAAAAACGAGAAATGAAAGGAAATAGAAACTGGAAAACCGAAAGTGGTGTATGAGTTAGTTGTCGGTCGCCAACTTTGCACTATGCGATTCATTGGAAAGCTCCGCACGAAAGCTTTGGAGCTTTGGGAAATGCAAATGCTTTGCTGTCCGAACAAATTTCGTTTACATTGCGCGCAGTTGCAACTTGTTTACATCATATTTCTACCTTCATATTTATATTCGGTTTTAGTTGAATTCTAATTAGTTTTAGTTAGCTACATTTACTTTTTGAATGAACTAATTAAAATTATTAAAAATAAATACAAATAATAATAAACTTATTCGAAGTGAAAATAATGTGAGGTTATAAATTTCAATCAAATTCGTATGCACATAACCTATATTTACATGAGTGAATAAACAAAAATAGAAGGCGAATATGAAACACTGACGACACTAAATCGAAGTTACGCGCGTGAAGCATTTTGTTGCCGCTCATTCGTCATTTTGTTTCACTCGTCTCGCCTTTCGTTCCCCACATTATTTCGCTTCTTTCTTTTCCTTTTTATATGCGGTACGTGTGATGTGCGTTATCGTGTTACGGCACTTTCGCTCGAGCCCATCATGAGCGCGCGCGCGCACCAGCGCATTCGATCCGTCCTTTTTTCGTTCTTCCAGGTCCTTTTTTCTTGCGCGTAACGCGCTCACCTTTCTTCGGTTGTGAGCGCATAGTTTTGCGTCGACCGCGTATAGTAGAATCAATAGCTGAGTCATTCTTTGCTCATTTCCTTCGTGGGAGAATTCAATTACTTTATGTGCTTTATTTATCTGTCATGGAATAAATAGAAATAAAAATAAAAAGGATAAAATAGGTAACACAAGGGAACTAGTAGCGTATAAATAAAAATTGAGTGGGTATAGTAGGTATATGGGTGTCGGTTTAATTTGGCAATGTTTTTGTTGATTTGAAATTAAAGCAATCAGTTTTATTACTTTTTTACTGAGCCACCTGGTCGGGAAAAACTCTCGCTTGAAAAACTTTAATACTTTTAAAACTTTGTTTTGAGGACTTAAATTTTTATAGATTGCGATTTTCACACGTAATTCAAATACCTACATTTTTCCAGTAAGAAATTTGACCTTGTTATTTGATCGAAAATAATTTTATAAAATTGTTTTGACCTGTTAATAAAATGGCTTTTGTTGGTCATTTTGGGGCACTTCAGGTTTGATAAGAAGGCTACAACAGAACGCATTCTGTAAGAAAATTTCTTAGCTATTATATGTCTATTAGGGGATCTAAATTACATTATTATCATAATAGATATAGGGTGTTTTCCACGCCAAAGCAAGAAAAATTAACGAAAATTGTTATTTTTGGACACTTTCTCCTGGTTTAAAGAGCTAAAACAATACAAAGATCATAAAGGGATTCCATAACTACCATATTATAATGAGGGATCCTAAATTACTCTATTGGAAATAAAGCTGTAGAACATTTACCACATAAATTCTCAAAATATCAAAAAAATAACAAAATAGACAGTATTGATGGACAAAAAGACTTTGTGAGGCTTTTGTAGACAAAATAACTCTAAGTCCAATTCACTAGACTTAATACTCTTTATGTAACATTAGTTCCATTTACTAAAAATTTTTGCCGTTCATTTATCTATTTCCGTTTGCAGAATTCAGTTTTTGATTTCGCACACTAACAAAGATAATCCAATGTGAAAGTCAAAGTATACTTGTGTCTCTAAGTGGAAATTGTGCAAGTCCCAGTACTTGCAATGGCAATATCTCAGTATCTGTACTTGAAAGACAACAAAGCATCCAATCACAGCCGAGTTTCCATGAACCGCATTGCAAATGCAGAGCAAACACAGCCAACTAAAGACGACAAACCCAACAAACCCTGGAAACTACAATACTCGACTCGTCTCGATAGCATCGCTTAGCATTGAGCAGCTGGATAGTTTTACAGTTTATAGTTGAACACACTTTCCACTTTACTCGTACATATTGTGTCGCTCGAAAACTATTAACCATTCTCAAGTCGTAAGCTTGATCGGCTTCTTAAGCGCACGTTTCTCCTTGCAGGCGATTAGACTGCCATCAATTGTTGTTTTGTATTTAGTTTAGTGATTAGTTTAGAGGTGGTTTCCAGTATTGGTATTCAAAGAGATGCGAGCATGCGCAATGTGCTCATTGTGTTAGTATTGAGTATATATTGCGTTTGCGGGGGCGCGTTCGCATTTGCATCGGCATGCGGTCGCTGCACGTCTTTGCCAGCTGAGGGAAACGGTGGTGACAAGCGAATTGAGAAATGTGAGCAGCAGGGGCGCAGCACGCTCGTATGAATTAAACATTGTGTGCGTTGAGGCACCAGGAACGCCTTCACCATTCATTACTTTTACGTAATAACGCATATCTTAACATTTTAACACCTAAACAATGATTTATTGGTGGTAAAGTACTAAAATTTTATATTTTTAAGTGCTACGTGGTTAAAATGATTATTTTGATGTATTTATAGTAATAAAAGACAAAAATAACATTTTTAGGTAAAATACGCAAATTTCAAGATATTTTTATATCTCCTAGAATTAAAATAATTATTAAATGAATATTCTTCCATTTATGATCAATTCCTGCTAAACTATATTCATAAATTTCATTTGGAATTAATATAAATGTAATGGAAAGCCTGAAACTAATTGAATTAATTTTTCATTGAATTTTATTTTTTTTCGAGCAATCGTTTCCAATAATATCCATGTGTAACAAATTCCTTATCGTCGATGAGAATTCTTTCATCTTTTTCATCGAAGACAAACTTTCCGAGCGCGCGCGCCCGCCTGAATGTAAATAATTAATGATTGTCGCGCGTGCTTCGACATCTTCTCAGCGGAATGCCACCTCGGCGCCTTCCGTTCGCCTGCTAAATATTTGAGCAATTTGAAGGCGTTCGATGCGTTTGTCGCTCGTAAAACGCGCCGCCGGAAACACTAAATTACATCACTCGAAAACGATCCCCCGTCTCAACGCTTACGCCCGTCGGGTGTCGTTTGATTACCGACGCGCAAGAAAACGCGCGCCAATTTCTTTTGCGCTTGAATCGCGCTGATGCAAAACGAATTTAGATCGTGTCAGATAATTGCTGCAATTAGACTGCTCTTCACGAAAACATTCAGATTATCCCTGTCTTGTATGTAATCTGTTATAATGATTAAAAAACTTTTTTTGATTGAATGAAGAATTTCGTGGAATAAAATTGCAATATTTGAGGAAAATTGAAAAGTTGAAGAAAGCGGATTAACACAAACATATAGGAAATATGTTTGATTGTGCATGTGTGTAGCGAGGGGCTTGTTTGATATTCAAAGAGACCCGCGAGTACCTTAAGTAAACGACAGTCTGAGCGCGGTGGTGACGAATGAAAGAAAGAGGGCACGAATTCAATTTCGATTTCGCGCATTTCGACAAACGTCAAATCGAAATGCAAACGTCGCATGTGGGAAATCAATCTTAGAACACACATGACTTTCAACTTTTATTACATTTTTTCATCTAAATATAAATCTAGTTTGAATTTTTTTCAAAATTTTTCATTTTTCAATTTCAACTACAGATTAATATAAAATATAAAATAAAAACACTAAAAAAGTTCGATCTTGACTCAAAAAATTATTTTAATTTAATTTTACTTGAACTGAAAGACAATTTTCGGCTAAAATTATTAAGTTAATTTTGATTTTAATAAAACCAAATGCATTAGGGGTAGAAAGTTACGAAAGAGATTTTCGAAGCTGATCCAAGAAGCACAAAGCAGAAACACGTTCCATGTTCGCACAGCACCAATGTTAAATAATGAAGCTGATTAACCGCGGCCAAGAATAAAGCGCGAAAGCTTTCGCCGGAGAGAGGAACAATGCCGCGGTGAAATTACGCACGGCGCGCGCGCTTCGCGTGCCTTCCTTCATAACTTCCGCGCGCGTTTCCTCGCACATCCTCCGCATTCCCGCATTCCGCTACAACTTCTCAGCATACATTCGTTCATAGGTACTACACTCGAATTTCATCGTTCGATATAAAACACATTCATCCCGGCAATTGTTGTGATTTTCGCGATTGTAATGGAGTTTTAATGGTTTCTGGAAATTTAATATTCGGTTTCGTTTTTGGGAGGGAAACCGAAAAGGGTTTCGGATGTTGCAATGCGCGCGGAATTCGATTAATGTCGGCGCGGATAAAATTACAACATTTACGAAATTATAGAATTATGCAGATTTCGGAACGGCGTGCACTGTGAGTTTTTGAATGTTCATGGAGCTTTGGAGCTTTCGAAACGCGCGGCGAGTTTTATTAATTGACGAGTTCGCGTGATGTGCGCGTTGATTGATCGTGGACGCGCGTCTGACGGACGCCGTTCAATTAAGCGTCGATTTATAATTGAACCGTTGCGAATTATTTATGCGTCGCCACATAATACGATAATAATTATTCAATTGAATTTATTTTTGTATATTATGATGATATTTATGTATTTTAAACCAGTTTATTCTTAAAATATTGCTTTTATCCTACGTAAATCCATAATTAATTATATTTTCTTTTAAAATTAAATATAGTAATGGGTTTAAAACTGCTTTAAAACCTTTTAATAATGCAAGACTTTCATTTAATTAAATTTTACAAAAAAAACGATTAAATCGATTTTTCATTATTTGTATGTAATATTTGTTTAAATTCTTAATTAAAAATACATACGTATCACCTGAAGAGTAAATTTTTAAATTTTTGACCTAAATATTGACCTAAATCTTGCGTGTTTTAATTTCATAATTTTTTTATTCATCAATTGCAAGCCAATATATTTATGGCCATAATAATATTTCTCTCGCTATTCAAAGACAACAATACGCAATACTATTATGATATTGAACAGCAAAACGTGTTTTTATTCTATATCGTAATAAAACACAATTTGCGTCAGAAATTAATAATGCCGTTATTAATTTTCTTTCAAGTTTTACAAATAACAATGTATTTATTTACTATTTTATTGTTTAGTATATTTTAATACTACATTGATTTTATTGCAATTTTATTGCTACGGGAATTTCTAAATTATATAAAAAACTCATTAATTATTTTTTAAACTCATGTACTCGTACTATGAGAGTTTATAATTTTAAATACTCGGATATTAAAATACCTCGAATAAAGTTTGATACTTTAAATAATTCAGCAATATTAATTTTCATTTGAAAGTAATTTAATACAAAATTAAACTGTTTAAATTATGATTAATTATTTTGTGGATTTTGTAATCCTTATCAAATTTAGTGTCTATAAAACATTAATACAAAGTGTTTTCACGTGTCATCATTTTTTTTTTGAGGATTTTTAGCAGCGCATATCTTTTAAACTAAAAGCGGTAGCAAACTGCTGATTAATGATTATTATAGTTTGGAAAATTCTCCACAAAATCAGACAAAAAAATCATGAAAATTTTAGGTGTAAAGGTTCTAAAATTGTGGGCAAAAGTACTAAAAATTGCAAATAAATTTTGTACTATTTATATCAAAAGTTATTAGGTTTCACCTATTTTCCCAGCAAAAACAACACACAATTTTACTATCTATATCCAATAGTAACATTTAATGTAACATTTTTTGTACTCGACTGGTTCGGAAGGTGGTGCGTAATTATTCGAGATGAGTGCGTGCTCGTCGCATTAGCCTTTGTGTCTGCGCACATTACGCGACCGTTTTCCACTGAATTTAAATTTGCTTTGAGCCCATCGTATACCTACTACCGCGGCGGCCATTAGTGTAAATATTTTCGCACTTTGAGCAAACCCCTTGATCGCGATCACGAACGCGATAAAACATCCAAGTTATGGCCCGCCGACGCACATCTTCAAACTTGAAACAGTTCAATTAATTACTGCCAAGATACATCAACTTGATACACTGTGAGTGTGTCAGCCCTGCTATAATTAATTATTAGTTATAATTAATTTGTGCATGCGCTCACCTTTTAAAAGTCTTGCCGAGTTTGTTTGTTTCGCACTTTATATTCACACAAACACACCGAAAAGTTTTTTCCACGCACCAAAAACTTTGAATATTTTTTTAAATTTATTTTTAAATTATTTGTTTCAACTACTACGTTGTTTCGTCTGTAATTAAGTAAAGTGTAATTAAGCCCTACGAGTCGTGGATGTCGTGCGCGTCGCGCGATAGGTCACCTGTTGCAGAGGCATGTGGCTGCGGCGGCGGCGGCGTACTGCGAATGCGGTGGACGCCGAGCGACTCCCGGCCGGCCGCCGGGCGCGCGGAGGCGGCGTGCGCGAGCGAGACAGCGCCACCTGGTGCGCCTGCCACCGCCCGCACCGCCGCCCGCATTACCACCGCCGCCGCCGCTCTCACCTGGGCGACTATTTTTCTCCACTCCGCGCCAGCTCGCACTCTTACTTACTCTCTCTTTCATCGGCCTGAACACCCGCCAGCATGTACAACGCGCAAAAAAGCGTCCGTCTGTGCGACGCAACAAGTATACGCTCGCAGCGGCACGCAGCCGACGAATTGCGACGTCAATAACTTAAAAAGCAACAAGTTCGTATAACTGCGGCGGCGGCGGCGGGGTGCGCTGCGAGACAGTCTCGAGACGGCGTTCAAGATGTGTTTCTTTTGATTTGCACCGCATACTTGGATTTTTATTTGATACTCGTGTCTCGGTGCAAAAAGCGTCCGAGCGTGATTAGCATTGCGCGCAATTTTTTTCTAGGTCAAGGATCAATATTAGTCCTACGCAATTTCGCCTGCAATCAAATTGTTATTAACTCAAGTGATTGAGATTGCATTTTTTGCTTCTACTTTCTTTAAAATGTTAATTTTGTACTTCATAAAACACATGGTATATGTACTCATATATCAAAGCATATAAAATGAAATTTATATGTAGTATGTGGGCAGCGTACAATAGAACTCCTTGTGCATGTGCATTCACCCTCTTCGAGTGTCACTTTTGCACTCGCAAAGTGCATTTCCGTCGGGATAAAGCTCTTGAGTATATTATTCATGCACATCCGTTACGTATACTCACGTTCTACACTTTTGTGAACTATTGATGTATAGATGGCATTAGTAGTAGATTCGAGTAGTGCATTCGATAACTAAATACTCGCCATCAAATAACAAATGTTGCTAGTTAGAGTCCTTTGAATGACAATTTGCTCGGCCGGCTAGAGTTACCAGAGAGTCAGTTGAGTTACAAGGGTTGACTACTTGTGCGGGTTTTGTTTCAATTAGCTGAGAGTCCTTACAGACGCAGGCAGGGGCGAACCGATTCGACCGCGATGTTAAATATTTGCTCGACTTCGTAATTCGGTTAGATCAAAGCGATAATCGCCGATTCGAGCGCATTCGCCGATTGTCTAGGGTTCTCGCCCCGGGTAAGGGCTCACATCCGAAACGGATAATTCGATTGCAATTTGGTACGCCGCTAAGCGTTCGTATTCAATATTTAACATCATCGAATGCTTAAAATAACATAACAATGCTGTAAAGCCACAATTTTGATTATTTAGAGGAAAATTTTGAGTATAAATCATATTTTTCTTTGTAAATTATTCATTCGGACGTTTAAAAGTATTATTTCGTGCATATCAACTAAACTAACCTCAAATTTCCTTGATTTGAACGCTATTTTAATAATGGCTGTTATAATATTTCAAAAATCATTTATTTGAGCTGGTTTCCATCCAATTGTGTAAATTATTAATGAAACACTTAAAAGTATTGTTTTTGTTGGAGCAGTTATTTAAATCGTGATTTTTGCGTGTTTTTGTTCCATCATTTATCTTTTTGTGCAATTGAAACGTTTGAGACTTTATGCGCCCGCCGTGATGGCGCTGGATACATTTAAGTTGCGCGCACGCGAAGAGCGTAAAACCCAATTAAAACGTTGCGTACGTGCTCGACCGACGTTATTAATTAAAAGCGCATTAGTTGTTCGGTGTTTGGGTCTAACACAAAAGCAAACCCGTTATTTATGCTTTTTTTTATCTTAATTCTACAAAATGTATTAAGAATTTACGTACCTACATTAATTATCTTTAAATTAAAAATTTAAAAAAATTACTAAACATATTGTATAGGTATATTTACAAATAAATTACAAAAAAGGGTAGATGTCTAAAAAATATGACATTAAGCCAGTGGGTTGCAGGCGCGGCAATACATCGTTTTAATTGAAATTTCAAAAATTTCACCCCTCGGGATGATCCAGTGTTTTGTTGTTTTTTTTCTGTGTGCGCGGTTGAAAGAATACGCAAATTTCGGCGTGCCAATAAATGAAAACATAATCAGCGTGTATTAGCAGCGTAAAGGTCGCGGCCTATATTCAATACGCAATTATATTCGGGCGGTCGTAGCGGTGGCGGTGGGCGGCGACAGGAAGCGCCAGGGCGCCATCCGGAAATGGTTCTCCAGAGCTGGGCTCCGGCCCGGTAACCGGGGTTTGCGCGACGTCGCCGCGCGGGGCGGCGGTTGCCCGTGACACGATGTTAACCTACTTTCGTACGGGGCGCGCACGCTCTTGGCCTCCATCCGGCAAACTGTGCCACAGCCGCGTGCGCTGCACAAACATGACCGCGAAGCACACACCCAAACGCGACACAAACGCACAAACAACCCCAACCCGAGAAGAGGGCGGCGCAGGTTGGGGAAGGCTCGTGACGTCTGTTTGCGTTTTCAATGAAGTCGCGATTTACGAAGCTGCAACTTTGTATCTAATGCTGAAATATTGAATCCGGGAAGCAACAGGCTATGCGCAGCAGGCGGCGGGGAGGAATTGGGGTGGAAAGCGAGGCACGTCGTCGAGATAATGCGGTTTTAATTAACGATCTTGCATTCGAGAGTCTTAAATCTTGCAATTTTAATCTGCAATGTTTTAACTAAAATCCACCCTTGACATTAATTAACGTTTAATTTAATGCTGCAATTATTAAACTAAAAATTACACAAAATTTATTACAGGTATTAATATTTTAATTACGTTTAATTAACAAATTATAAGTATTTACTTTAATTTATTATCGTAATTAATTTCATAGTTCATAATAATGTAATATCCTTTCAGTCCTTATTTTATTTTACAGGTTTCTGTAACATAATTTTCCAAAGTTAACTCCTGCAAAAGTTTCCTGGGGTTGCAGAAGTCCTTTTAGTAGCTGTTCACTCCGCTATCGAAACATAGGCGGCGCTAGTGTGTCTAACCTGCAAATATATTCCTTTTGGTTGCATTTTATCCTAGGGGTGAAAATCAATGCCGGTCATTCACACCCTTTCCGCTTCGCTTAATGAGCGCGCACGAGAGAGCGTCCTGCTGCCTGCCGCCGTCGGTTTGCAGGATCGTAAAAATTATTCACGCCCACACGTTTTTCATCATCAACGCGCCGCGTCCTGTTCCTACGCTCTGCCTTCGACTGCCAGATTCATTAAATCGCCGCTTGAAAAATTGTACGCTTCTACTTTGCCTTAGCGGATTAATCTTTACCGTATTTCTACGCGAAAAATAATAATTAACAGCAATCATTTTAAAAATGCTTGATTTATTAGTTGTTTGCTTAATAATAATTAACGCGAATTAGGATTAAAGTAAATATGTTTGTTAATTAAATTTTAAGTTTTAACATTAACACAGATTGTTCACGGCGAAACAAAACAGTGGAGAATAAAAATAAAACCGAAAAACTTTTAATTATTTCCTTCTTTGCACGCGCTTCATTAAAATTTGCACAACGAATGGGAAAATCGCGCCCGCCGAGACGAAACTTTTTCTTCAATCTTTTGCAAATTTACGAATTCAAGTTTATTATAAAAAAAGTGTGCCACTGCCGCTGCGACTACGGCATAATTAAAAAGTCGTTTTGATTATGTTCTCACACTTTTGTTTTTGTCATTTAACAAATGGTATCTTATATTTTTGTAAGTTATTATGTTGGTTTATAATTAAAATTACTACATATTAGCAATTTGTAAGCATAGATAGTGTAATATTATTGTTTATTGCCTCTTTTAATCAAGGAGATAAAAAATTAACTTCCTAACCTTTAAAATTTGCTAAATTTTACTAATTTTCAAAATACAAAGAAAAAAATGCAAATTTTTATTTCAAAATTTTGTAAATCGATTCAAACTATTGTATGAACCGTATTTTTATCTAAATACAACATTACACGATTATTTTTAATAAATTTTAGTCAAATGAACGAAAAACTTCAATTTGTCAAAACAAATCTTAAAAAACTAAGCTTGGGTGAAAAAACACATTAAAATTTGTATTCTATCACCTAGCATTCACTTAAAATGAATGAAAATAGGTCTTGTTGCGAGTGGGAGGAGCTTAGCACACGAGTTAATTACCGTAATTAAAGTTTCTTCTTCGCGGGTGGCACCGTGGCGGACATTAATGAAATACGTGCGTCGAATGCGGCCTCTGAACGTGGCCGCCGTTTAACACCCGTTCGCAAACACCCACACACAAACAAAAACAAAAGCAGAAAAAAAAAACGTATAACACAAATTGCCACATGAACCAAATAAGAAACTTATAGGTATACGTCGAAGATGAAGTCGTCGTTGTCGTTGTCGAGGAAATGTTTTTCGCCGCTTCGCTCGAGCGAAGCACTGGGCAAAATAACATCCCAGAGGAAATTATAAAATTACTCTTCGGAGAGCACGGAATGAAATCGCAGGAGTGCGCGACGAAGCGCAGAAAGAGAACTCGGTTATGAATTATCGCACACCTGAAACGGCCAAGACGCCTCAACGCCAGCCGAGGGAAAACTAAAACTTTAATTACACCGCGCAACATAACATACTCGTACATTCAGTGTAAACTGAAAAGTTGTGGTTTTCACGTAAACTAATTAAATAAATAAATAAATCTAAGTAATATGAGTTGACTATTACTACCACAGCGCCATCTAGTAGGTAATGTATAGTTTCAAAGTGGAACTTCTATATACGTTTAATAATCTAATGCTGTACGTCGGTTTAGTATGATGGAAATGATGAAATAGATTTGTAATTAACTGGCGGGCAAGTCATGCGGAAGATGTTCTGCAGTTTCTCTACGTTATTCAACCCCCCAAGCATCCGCCGCCCCCCTAGTCACGGTCAGAGGCTGGTTGGAACTCGCGGACAGATCACTACAGCTTCGAGGATATCGGGGATCAGTTCGCCTCGCTTCCATATTCTGCCAGTCCGTCCGGGGGCGGCTTTCCTAT